TCAAGACTTGACTCAGACTCGCACGTCACAGATTCAAGACCCAACACAGACTTGCACTTCAGTGATTTGAGACTTAACTTGGACTCACGCTTCAACGACTCAACCCTGACTCTGGCTTGCACCTTATGCTAACCATACACTAGATGACTTTGAAAAGACTTTTGAAAGACTAAAGTCTGACACCCTCTCACATCTAAAGACAGTGTCATGTTTTTTAGTCAGAGACTATAATTTTGCAAAGAATAGGAATCTTGCAGTGTCACTATTTACAAGACTGCAACTACATTTTTGAGATTATTCCCCATCATGCACCTGGTGGAAATTTACAAGCAGATAAACACTTTTAGTTCCACTTTATAGTGGTACAGATGGGAAGATACGTTGGCTGGGTGTGTAAAGATCTGGGACTCAGATTAGTTCACTATAGAACTGTATACTCTGGCAGATCATCACGCAGAATTGTATTAATTAACTTATAAAATGTGCTGCTACTTTTTTAATTTGATATAAAGATTTACACATCAACACAACATGCAGCGATTCAGCATTGTCGATTGGGTGTCATGGACTAAACCATAAGAAACAAACAAACAATATAAGAAGCCAGTGTAACAGAAAATAGGAAAAAATAGAAAACAATTGATGATTCTTCAGTAATGGCATTCTTAAAGTCCTCTGCACATTTCCTTACATGTTACAGCTCAGTGGACCTGAAATATTAAAACAGTCAGTTTACATTTTAAGTTATTATGATTATTGTATTGAATTGCTGTTTTTTACAGAGATTTCAGGCAGTCACTCCTGCATTCTCTCTCTCTCTTTCTATCGCGCAGCGCGCCCGCACTCGCCCGCAAGCACTCACGTGCGCCCCTGGCACGTCAGTATTTGCATGAACCAAGACTTAAAACTTACAATAATATTAAACACGGTTGATTTTGTCACAGCGTCAAGATGAGAAAAAGACTGACTTAAGACGGCCGTCCTGATCACCTTACACCAAACGATCGAGATGACGCGAGCGTGACGCGACTCTAACAAGACTCTCGTGATTTTATTCCGACATTTGTCTGCGACAGTGAAATCGCTTGAAAAGTCGTTTGGTGTAAGGCCGGCATTAGAGACCTGAGACTTGACTCAGATTCACATGTCAGAGACTCTAGACCTGTTGTGGGAAAATGTATGAATGTGTACAATTCTTAACAGAAATTTTGAATGTGTTTCAGTTTGATTCTGGGTAAGAGATCAGACTCATCTGAACCCAGCTGTGCGTCTGTGAAGAGTGATGACTCAATATTCAGAGACATAAACTTCAGAGAGATAGACAGCTCAACTGTGCTGAGGTAAGAGTCAGGTTTGACAGTAGTAGTTTTACTCTCAGTGTCACCTGATCAAAATGTGCCTTTCCTGAGCTGAATCAGGTTTGTTGTATCAGGAAATACTTGAAAAGTCCTGACTCAGACTTGCAACTCAGAAACTTGAAACTTGAAACTCAAACCCAAGACTTGACACAGACTCACGACTTAAGACTCACCTTGGACTCACACCTCAGTGACTCGAGACTCACCTTGGACTCACACCTATAAAACTTGAGACTGTGCTCAGACTTGCACCTCCAAGACTCAAGACTCAACACAGATTCACAAGTCCAGACTTGGGAATCTGATCAAAATGTGCCTTTCCTCAAATAAATCAAGTTTGTTGGAACAGGAAATACTGAAAACTGTGCAGTGCTATAAAATACATGAATAAATAAATAAATATTAAAAAAAGTCCCAAACTTAAGACCTGACTCAGACTTGCAACTCGGAAACTTAAAACTTGAAACTCAAACTCACACATCAGAGATTCAAGACTTGACACAGACTTGCACTGCCACGACTCAAGACTTACCTTGGACTCACACCCCAGTGACTCAAGACTCATTTTGGACTCACACCTCAAAAACTTGAGACCTCAAAGACCCAAGACTCAACACAGATTCACCAGTCCATGACTCGAGATTTGACTTGGACTCGCACGTCACAGATTCAAGACCCAACACAGACTTGCACTTCAGTGACTTGAGACTAAACTTTGATTCACGCTTCAACGACTTGACTCTGACTTGCACCTTAGAGACCTCAGACTTGACTCAGACTCATATGTCAGAGACTCTAGACTTGTTGGTGGAAGATGCATGAATGTGTACAACCCTTAAAAGAAAATTTGAATGTGAATGTAAGAGATCAAAGTCATCTGAACTCAGCTGTGTTTATGTACTGTATATATACACTGAACAACCAATTCATTAAAACCACCTCCCTGTTTCTACGCTCATTGTCCATTTTATCAGCTCCACTTACTATATAGGTGCACTTTGTAGTTCTACAGTTACAGACTGTAGTCCATCTGTTTCTCTGCAGACCTTGTTATCCCCCTTTTACCCTGTTCTTCAGTGATCAGGACCCCCATGGACCCTCACAGAGCAGGTATTATTTTGGTGGTGAGTCATTCTCAGCACTGCAGTGAACCTGAAATGGTGGTTTGTTAGTGTGCGCACTGGTGCGAGTGGATCAGACACAGCAGTGCTGCTGTTTTTATTTTAACTCAGTGAACAAATAGAAATTGTGGTCTAAAATTTGCCATGAACATAAAAAATGCCATATTTAAGATACTTATTGTCACAAAATCGGTAAAACACATACACATAAAACACATTTGACCAGGGGCACACAAACTTTTGCATACGATTCTCTGTGTATGTATGTGTGTGTAAGTGCGTGTACATATATGATGCTGTTATTATTATTATTAATATTATTATTATTATTTTTATGCTTTAGCAGTAAGAGACTGCAGCTGATCACTATATTTCAGGTATGTGTTTGTTTTAGTTTTTCATTTTGATGTTTTAGTTTAAATTCTTAAAAATTTTATGAATTCAATAAATATTTTTTAATAGTTTTATATATTACCTTAGTATTGTTATTGTGATGTGAATAATGCTGGTGTTGGGGAAAACAGTTCACTTTCCATCCATAAACTAAACAGGAGCAGCTTCACAAAGCATATAAAACATTGCTAGTTTCAAGCTTTCATATTGCATACCCATAAACCACAAATATAGTGCTAACTTTCTATGAAGAATGTTAACTGTACATTTATACAGTGGTGGACAGTAACTAAGTAAATGTAATTTGTTACTGCACTTAAGTAGTTTTTTCGTGTATCAGTACTTTACTGAAGTATTTCCATTTTGGGCGACTTTTTACTTTCACTCCACTACATTACAAAGTCAAATATCTTACTTTTTACTCCACTACATTTTGCGAAATCTGTCGTTCCTTTCGGTTTATGTGTGTAAAAAAACGTAACATGTCAAAACGAAAGAAGCACAAAGCAAGAACACCAATCAGGGCACAGCGCACACTTTGTTTTGAGCTTGTTTTGACCTGTTGGTCATACCGACCCAGTGCAAGCATACGGTTCAATGTCAGTGCAGCAGCGTAAAATTTTGGGAGAGTCTATTCAACATAAATGATGAACTAACCTAACTTTGTGTAAATAGACCACAATATAGAAATATGTACACATATTAAGTTGTGACTGACGTGCCTCTTTTTTCTAAATTTGTATAAGCACTTTTGCAAAACTCTCACTTTTTTAAAGCAAGTTTTTATTAAATTTAAACTTGTAACTAAGTTGCAAACAAATCTTAAACTGAAACTTTGCTTGTTTGTAAAAAGTGATTTCAGAGCCACTCAGTTCTACCTAATGGAAATTGTTTGCCTTCAGTGTTTTGTGCCTATGATAATTTTAATAGACATCAGTATTAGACTAATTAATGACATTCTATTAAAAGATTGGTTTACCAAGAGTGACACTAGAGTATTCTCGCCTAAAATAAGTTGATAAAGCAAGAGTCTTGTTATAAAAATGATAATAGGACATTAAAGTCATAATTAATCTTTTAGTACTTTTACTTTCGATACTTAAGTACATTTGAAGGCAAATACTTCTGTACTTTTACTCAAGTGTAGGTCTAAAGGGAGGAACTTCTACTTTTACTGGAGTAATATTTTACCTTGGGCATCTCTACTTTAACTCAAGTACATGATTTGTGTACTTTGTCCACCACTGCATTTATATAATTGTACATAAATATTTAGAACAACCTAAAATATTTCACTGGAATTACTAAGGCAAGCTGACATTTGACCCAGCACTCATTCTGAAATTGATACCTGCAACACATTCCAAAAATGTTGAGGATGGGGTAATTTAAGACTAGAAAGGGGTGATGTAATGATGCTTGGATATAAAAGGAACATTTGGGAAATACTTTATAAGCAAAGATGGGTCGATGGGTCAAGGCCATTTTGCCAAAAATGCTTCAGCAAAAAAACATGCAACAGTTTAAAAATAGCTTCATAATATGCATAATATCATCAAAAGATTCATGGAATCCAGAGAAATCTCTGCAGCATTTTGCGAAAGCAACCCAAGACTTTTTTAAGGCAGTCAAGAATCCATTTCAATTAAAAAAAACTCAAGGGAAAACACACTAAGATCAAGCAGGAACTGAAAACAGTAAATCCAGAGCAACACCAGCAAAGAAACCTAGTGTCTGGTGATGTCTGTGGGTTCACAGTCATTGAGGATTTTCAAAGCAAGTATTAAAAATGATAGTTAATTTCTGACGGTTAGCTTAAGACCGGAGGGTGTTATGGGGAACAATGTATGCAAATGTAATACCAGGGTAATGGTAATTCCTACACCTGATTTGGATGTAAATGAAGATGAGCTCATCTTCATTAGTCCACCTCAGCTCCAATATGCTGTGGTAGACAGCTAAAACAGCAATAACTTTATTAATGTCAAAATATTTGTGGACCTGGCTGTGACAGTATTTCAAGTGGTTTTTTGTTACTCTTTTTTCTCAAACAGGAACTGGAGTTCCGGGTCATCTCCCTGGTACAGAATGAGCTGAAGACGTTCGAGGAGTTACTGAGCCCAGATTATGTTGGATGTGCTGAGAGAGGGATAAAGAAACTGAGCAGTGTCAGAGAGGCAGTGCTGAAGATTGTACTGCACGCCCTGAGAAGCATGAACCTGTTAGACCTCGCTAACACACTACAGACCAGTAAGAGCTCTTACTGGGTTCTTGCACAAGTCTGAAAAGTTTGGAAAAGTACTGAATTTAAACATGCATTGGAAAATAATGGAAATTTAGAGAATGTTTTAAAAAATATTATTGAGGAATATTCTGCTGTCACATTAATATAGACTCAAGATGTGAAGGCTCTGTTTTGCATAGCAAAGTTAGTGATCTTTACAAATAGCAAAAATATATAGATATTAAATATGTATATAACGATAATAATTTACTAATACTTGGTTATGCATCCCCTTGGCTTAATGACAGCTTTTATCACATCAGGTAAGGATTACACCAGTCTTCGATATAGTTCCTATCCATTTTATTTTAACCCACTTTTCCACAAACTACACTGTAAAAATATCCATCTTTTTACAGATTATTTCTTCGTATAACTTAAACAGAATTGTTCTGTTTCTGCATTTAACTTTAACTTTTCCAAGCATGCATTGCATGATAGTTTACCTGGGTAGTTTACCTGTCACCCCACTGGTTACGGCTGCAGCACACATTATTAATAATATTGTAACTATATGATAATGCTAGGTATAAGTATTAGACATGTGGCTACAGCACTGAGCAATAGCTGAAGTTGAAATAATTTGTAGCTGTTAAGTAATGTGATGTACCTTAATCAGTGCCTGCATGAGCTATGGTTTCCCAGAAATATTGTTTTGGTTTAATACATTTTATATGTTTTTGTTTTGTTCACCATGATGGTATTTTGAGTTCAAATTTACCAGTACAGCTGGTCTTGCTGTGATAAAAGCAGTTGTTAACTGAGCTCTCAATAGACAACGTTGTAAGGTTTAGCTCTGTTGTCAGCATATCACATTTGAATCCTGGTGATGCTGCAGCTCAAAAAAGTCACTAATTATTGCCACATTATCAATGATATTTCAGTTGATACTGCTAAATCTGTAAGTTGTCAATAATGGCTGATATGATCAGCTATTATGTATACACAGAATATGTACTGTAATTTTACAGATTGTTTTGTAAAAGGAGTGACGGAATTGTCTGTTAAATTTACGGAAAATGTACTGCTCACTTTGGCCACTACATTTTCCCTTTGTTTTACAGATTTTTTTTTTTTAATCAAATATAGATGGACATTTCAGCTGGCATTTATGTACATCTATTTTGGCACTTCACCTGCTGTTCCAAATTAAGAATTAGATTTGAGTTCTGGTGATTTTGCTGGTAAATCAAAGTGTCCCAGTGTTCCATCTTTGCTGTTGAACCAGTCACATACATGCACCTGACATTTGTCATCAGGAAATATGTGAATGTTAAAGTTGTGTTTGGCTCGACCATAGACAGCTATGTCAAGAGACTGGTGTAGTCCTTACCTGACAGGACTGGCACTGCCATTACGGCAAGAGTGCGCATAACCAATTATTAGAAAAGAAGTGGTGCATGTGACTAATTTGTTTGTCCATTCACCACAGAACAAGAAAGTCAGTTTAACAGTAATTTTACTGTATGACAACGGTGTTTGTGGCATGGGTGATTCTAATTGTAGCATTAACATGTTTTTTTGTCGTTGCTTCAACGTTTGTCAGATCTGACTCCTGCTGGTCATAAAAAACTCAAATCTACACTCAGGAAAAAATGTCAGAAAATTAATGAAGGAATTTCAAACAAAGGAACCTCAACACTTCTGAATGAGATCTACACAGAGCTCTATATCACAGAAGGTGGGAGTGGAGAGGTCAATAATGAACATGAGGTGAGACAGATTGAGACAGCGTCCAGGAGACCAGCGACACAGGAGACACCCATCAAATGCAATGATCTTTTTAAAGACAAAGCCATTAGAACTGTACTGACTAAAGGAGTTGCTGGAATTGGAAAAACAGTCTCAGTGCAGAAGTTCATTCTGGACTGGGCTGAAGGAAAAGCAAATCAAGATATCCACTTCATATTTCCACTTCCTTTTAGGGAGCTGAACTTGATAAAGAAGAAAAGACTCAGTCTGAGGAATCTTCTTCAGAACTTTTTCACAGAAACTTCAGAACTTTTTCACAGAAACAAGTTGAAGCAGAGAGATTTTTACCATCACAGAGTCTTGTTCATCTTTGATGGTCTGGATGAATGTCGACTGCCTCTGGATTTTCAGAACAATGAGAGATTGTCAAATATATCACAGTCAGCCTCAGTGGATGTCCTGCTGACAAACCTCATGAAGGGCAATTTGCTTCCCTCTGCTCTTCTCTGGATCACCTCTCGACCTGCAGCATGTGGTCAGATCCCTCTTGAGTGTGTGGACCAGATAACAGAAATACGAGGGTTCAGTGACCCTCAGAAAGAGGAATACTTCAGGAAGAGGGTCAATGACCAGAGTCTGGCCAGCAGAATTGTCTCACATATGAGGTCCTCAAGAAGCCTCTACATCATGTGCCACATTCCAGTCTTTTGTTGGATATCAGCTACTGTTCTAGAGAGGATTTTTACTGAGCGGAGTGGAGAGATCCCCAAGACTCTCACTCAAATGTTCACACACTTCCTGATCTTTCAGATCAAACACAGCAGCCAGAAGTACCAAGGAAAAAGTGACCCTGATCATGACCAGACTAAAAAGATTATCTGGACACTGGGAAAACTGGCTTTCCAGCAACTGAAAAAAGGCAACCTGATCTTCTATGAGGAAGACCTGAGCAAGTGTGGCATTGATGTCAGAGAAGTGTCAGTGTACTCAGGAGTCTGCACTCAGATCTTCAGAGAGGAGTTGGGGCTGCACCTGGGGAAGGTGTTCAGCTTTGTCCATCTGAGTGTTCAGGAGTTTCTGGCTGCTTTGTTTGCATTTCTCTCCTTTATCTCTGAGAACAAAAATGTGCTAGAACAACAGACTGACTTGCTAGATGTTGTCAACAAATCAAGAATGACTGATTTTCTCAAGTATGCAGTGGACAAGACCTTACAGAGTGAGAATGGACACCTGGATCTTTTCCTTCGCTTCCTTCTGGGTCTCTCACTGGAGTCCAATCAGAATATCTTACAAACTGTACTACTACAGACAGCGTGTAGCTCTCACAACGAGGGAACAGTTGAGTACATTAAGGAGAAGATCAGGGAGAATCCCTCTCCAGAGATATCCATCAATCTTTTCCACTGTCTGAATGAACTGAATGACCACTCTCTAGTGCAGGAAGTCCAAACATATCTGAGCAGAAGAGGTAACGAGTGTCTGCATGGAGCTAAGCTCTCGCCTGCTCAGTGGTCAGCTCTGGCATTTGTTTTGCTGAACTCAGATAAGGAGCTGGATGAGTTTGACCTGAGTAAATATGACAAATCGGAGGAATGTTTTGAAAAACTATTTTCAGTGGTCAGTGCATCCAAGAAAGCTGTGTAAGTATTTCCATTAATAATAATAATAATAATAATAATATTAATAAATTAAAGAGGACTTTCTACACACATAGAAGCTGAAAGTGCTTTACAATCACATACTATGGTTGAGAAATAAAAATACAAGATTACCAAAAATAAAATATAACATTATTAAAGATAAAAGTAAACAAAAAATTAGGAAAAATAAATATGTTGAAATGATTAAAGTAATTGCAATAAAAATTTAAAGAAAGGTAGAATAAATAAAAGCTGTACTTTGCAAAAGTCAGAGAACACACTTTCATTTATTTTATTTCCAGTCAAAAACATCCTGTAAGTTATTCATTTTTCAGTGTCAAAAAAAGAGAAGGAAACATACATTTAACTGAAAATTTCAAAGATGCCTCCAGCACTAATAGGACACCTATCAACTGTGCAAGATCTGGTACACCCATTAAACTCTCCCAATCAGATGAACAGCACTTTTATATTTGAGATGTGGAAATCAAACTCCACTCTTGCTTCACAAAAATCCAAAGGTTTTTCTGTGCTGGATTATGCTGGATTATGAGAAGCAGAACATGCAACCAACTAAGACTGAATTTTGGAGGTGTTTGACCAACTCCAGAGCTGAGAGTGTTATGTATGTATGAGTGAAAGTGGTCTGCATGTTCTCAGATGACTACAGTTTTTCTAGTGAACAGTCCTTGGGGGCAGTGTCTTCATACAGGGTGCAAAGAATGTCGTCCATGAATTCTCATCAAATGGGAGCCCCAAGTAGTGCAACCATCTAAGCATTGGTCCTATCATCAGGTTTGAGTATCGTGTTCGATCCCTGCTGATGCTACAGCCATATATGGCTGGGAGTCCAAGAGAGCACAATTGGCTTAGCTGATGCAACAGAACTGGCGTTTGGCACTTTTCTCTGATCATGTTCAATTGTCCGATGATGTTGCATTAGCAGCAGTTCGAAAGGTGCGGTGGCTCACTTTTGGAGGACGCCTCTGCTAGCTTTTGCCCTCCTAGCACTGGTACTGGAATGGGAGAGTCCTAACTAGTAGGTGGAATTGGATATGTCTATATTGGGGAGAACATTGAAAAAAAACAGTAACCACAATGCAGGACAAAGAGATGATAGTCTCCTCTCCTTGAGAAGAGAATGGGGAATCTAGTGGAGAGAGAGCGTCAGCTTTGAGATTTTTAGAGCCAGTTTGATAAGCGTAAAATTGTTCTTTGATAGACAGAAGCTTATGAATGCAAACATCATAATTGCACTCTGCAGGGCTTAAGGGACATGAATAGAATGCATAGGTATACATGTAGTATACATTTGAGTGGCATGTATGTCCTTCTGAAACTCCATCTAATTATCAGCTAAGTTTAATAAAACAAATAATCAACAGAAACACAACAGTGCAGTTCCTTCTATTTTTCCATATTTGTCACACTTGAATGTTTCAGATTATTGGACTACATTTAATATTAGACAAAGATAACCCAAGTAAACACAAAATGCTGTCTATAAAAGGTGATTTTGTTTATTGAAGGAAAAATGCTGTACAGCCCTACCTGTGAACAATAATTGCTTCCATGGTTACTAAATCAACCAGGTGAACCACAGTGAGAGTTATTATCCACATATGGAGAAGACTTGGAACAGTGGTGAACCCTCTCAGGCATGGCTGGCCTACCAAAATTTCACCAAGAGTTCATCAACAACTCATCCAGGAGGTCACAAAAGAACCCAGATGAACATATAAAGAACTGTAGGCCAAAAAACATTAACATCAAACAAAAAACATTAATATCAAACATGTAGATGAACCCCAAGACTTTTGGCATAATATTCTGTGAACTGATGAGCCAAAGGTGGAACTCTGTGGAAGACATGGGCCCCATTACATCTGGCACAAAGCTAACACTGCATTCCACCATAAGAACATCATACCAACAGTCAAACATGGTGATGGTAGTGGGATGGGGCTATTTTGCTTCTGCAGGACCTGGACGACTTGTCATAATGGGTGAAACCATAAATTCTGGTCTCTATCAGAAAATCCTGAGGGAGAATGTCTGCCTGTCAGTTTGTGACCTAAAGCTCAAGCGCAGTTGGGTTATGCAGCAGGACAATGATCTGAAGCACACAAGCAAGACCACCTCTGAATGGCTCAAAAGAAACAAAATTAAGGTTTTGGAGTAGCCAAGTCAAGCCCTGACTTGAATTCCATTGAGCTGCTGTGGCAGGACCTTAAGAGGGAGGTTAAGCTCAAGAACCCTCCAGTGTAGCCGTAATAAAACAATTCTGCAAATAAACGTGGGCCAAAATTCTTCCACAGTGATGAAAAAGACGCATGACAAGTTAAAGCAAACATTTGATTGCAGTTGTTACTGCCAAGGGGGGCACAACCAGTTATTAGATTTGGGGAGCAAATATTTTTTCACATGGGTAACATAGGCTTTAAATAAATCTTTTTCTTTAATAAATGGAATGATCATTTAAAGCTGCATTTTGTGTTTACCTGTGTTGTTGTCTTATATTAAAATAAGTTGGATGATTTGAAATGTAAATGTCACAAATTAGCAAAAATAGAAGAAATTTTTCACAGTACCAAATAGGCCATGTTTTTTTATCTAAAGTATCATCATTGTTCTTTCAGAGGACGTTGGTGTAATCTGACAGAGAAAAGCTGTGCAGTTCTGGCCTCAGCTTTCAGCTCAAACACCTCAAATCTGAGAGAACTGGACCTGAGTTACAATGAACTGCAGGATTCAGGAGTGAAACTGCTCTCCGTTGGACTGGAGCATGCACACTGTAAACTGGAGATCGTGGGGTGAGGTTATCGACATTGGTAAATGCAGATCACAGGCAATCACATATTTACCATTTATAATAGTAAATCAAAAGTTTTCTGTTTCTCACACACAAACATCCTAATACTGATCTCTCTATGTTTTCTACATACATACACCCACTGTTCTCAGATATATAAACTGTTTATATTTGTGTCCATGTGAATGTTTAAAATGGCATTGATTTGATGTATCATAATTTCTTTCCCAGGCTGTGTAACTGTAATCTCACAGAGGAAAGCTGTGAAGTTTTGGCCTCAGCTCTCAAATCCTCATGTCTGAGAGAGCTGAACTTGAGCTACAATAAGCTGCAGGATTCAGGAGTGAAGCTGCTTTTTGCTGGACTGGAAAATTCACAATGTCAACTGGAGAAACTAATGTGAGATCAATGCTGATCTTATTTACACATACATACACATGCACACTAACATAGAATGTTTATGTGAAACGTGTGTTAGATATAATATTGTTCTCACACACTTAGGGCATTTTCATATTTGTCTCAAATAATTGAGTCTGCACCTAGGACCAATTTTGGGCTTTTTGGGTCAAGGCTTATTATCACAGGGTTGCTTTCACACACAAGAATTCCTTCTGACCTGTGGATTGATTGTGCAATTCCTTACATCACTTTACTGCATGCAGGTTTGCAAAATGGTAGGCATTACCTTCATCTGTTTGCTGCTTTTTATTGTTTTCCTTGGATAAAAACACTCAAGCAGCAAAGAACAGCACTTTTCATCTAAAAGTTGAAAAGGGATGTAGCGTGATACGTTGAAGCAGTCACATTACAAAATAAACCAGTTGCGAAGCCCCACGCATGGCACCAGGAGTGGAAAACTTCCACATGTGCAGCAGACTGCACCAGAGTTTGCTGGAACCGAACCCCAGACCACTGATTTCAGGAGGACCAGAGATCAATGCTCTGGACTTTCAAATTTGTCCAAGTGTACTGAACTCACAGAACAAGTGGTCCTGGGTGTAGTAAAAGCTGTAGTATGAAAATACCCTTGGGCAGTGTTCTAATATTTCATGATTTTGGTTCTGTTCCAGGTTGTGTAACTGTTCTCTCACAAAGGAAAGCTGTGCAGTTCTGGCCTCAGCTCTCAGCGCAAACTCATCAGGTCTTAAAGAGTTGCACCTGAGTTGCAATGAGCTGCAGGATTTGGGAATGAAGCTGCTCTTTGTTGGACTGAACAATTCACAGTGTGAAACTGAAGTCACTGGGGTGAGATCATCACTTTCTGTCAGTGGATACAGATATCACACATAATAACAGGGGAGACTATATTGAAAGTGTGTATGTGTGTGTGTGTGAAAGAAAAGGAGGGAGAAAGAGAATTGTTGTTGCTGTTTTTTAATATAATCAATTAATCATTTAATTTAATTTCTATTTCCAGATTGCGTTCATGTAATCTCACAGGGGAAAGCTGTGCAGCTCTAGCCTCAGCTCTCAGATCAACCTCTTCAAAACTGAGAGAACTGGATCTAAGTCACAATGAACTGCAAGATTCAGGAGTGGAGCTACTCTATGCTGGACTGATGAATCAATGCTGTAAACTAAAGAAAGTGGGGTAAGGTTATCTCTTTCTTACTGCAGTTCTCTCTCTCACACACACACACACATGCACACACCCACATACTATCAGGGGATGTAAATCTGGGGCTGTATTACAGAAACTTCCTATTATTTGGTCTTAACTTAAGATTTGACAGGTCAAGATAAGATTTTTCACAAAATCGTATTACAGAAGCAAATCTGATCTTGATTTAGGAATCTTATCTTACAGCATCTTATATTATCTCAAGTTAGGAAAACTTAATTTACTTGACCGTCGACAATCAACTGTCATGTCTGTTACCTAGCAACCGACTATATGCACATAGCTGAAATGTAAACACATTATCAAGTTAGTTAGCCAGACAGCTATCGTTAGCTACCATTACTGAGGTATAAAGGTCAAATAAAACTAAAGCGCGATAAAATGAAAGTTAAGAATACTGTGTCAGTGCTTCGAGCTGTTTATCAAAGCGTTGCTGCTCTCCACTTTCAGTTTCATTTCCCAAACACTTTAGCTGACCGCGCTAACATTATTCCTTATAATAAACAGACACACGTTCAGCTCTGTCTCCTCATTATTCACCACCATCACTGTAATATTTTATCTGACGAGTTTGACTGTGCTGCCTATCACTGCATAAAACAATAGAAACAGATGATTAAAACAGAAGTTAAGACGCTCTGGTTGTCTTAAAGTTAAGAAAATATTTAGGATATTTTGGCAACTTAGGATGTTCCTGTAATACCGTTTTCTTGTCTGGAAATAAAATAATGTAATGGCTTCTGTCCTAACTTCAGTCTTAACTGATGTTGCCATGACAACAAAGGAGATAAGATAGAGGTAGAAGATAAGATAGAAGATCTCAGACTTAAGAATTTTCTGTAATATGGCCCCTGGGACATACTTCCCAAACCACATTGTTAAGTATTCTCTAATTGTCTTGATTATATGTTTTCTGACACTGTATGACATACTGTTATCTATAAACAAAAATGTGGAAATTAAAGACACATTACTGTTGTTCCTACGCTACATACTTATGTCTTTTTTCATAAATGTATGTCAAACAGTGTCTGAAATCACACAAGCAAGTCTATTTTGACAGCTCAAACTCATTTAAGTATGTACTTTGCACAATTCTAAATTAACTAAATCTTTCCCATGTTAGCTCATGTGAAAAAATAAACAAGCAAATTTGGCTATCAAACATGATATAATTACATTTGTAATATAAAGAATATCTAGATTTTTGTTTTTTGACAAACAAAATCATTTTCAGATTACATTGCATGTGTGTGTGTGTGCAAGAGAGAGAGAGACAGAGAGAGAGATGATTTGTGTTGAGATTTATTGTTGCTAAGATGTTATTTTATAGTTTGTCTGTAATTGAATTTGGCAGATATGCCAAATATGTATGTTTATAGTTTTATTTTTGTGTGTGTGTGTGTGTCTTGAAATGACAGTGTTCTAACATATTATTATATTATTATTTCTGTTCTAGGCTATATAACTGTAATCTCACAGAGAAAAGCTGCACAGCTCTGGCCTCAGCTCTCGGAGCAAACTCAAGTCTGAAAGAGCTAGATCTCAGTAACAATAAACTACAGGATTCAGGAGTGAAGCTGCTCTCTGCTGGACTGAAGAATTCAAATTGTACACTGGAGAAACTGGAGTAAGATCATTACTTTCTCACTGTGACTGTAGATTTCTCTCTCTCACACACACAGACACATGTTTTTTATAAATAGCTAACTTTTCTGTCCAGCACTATGTATAGAAAACAAAGAAAGTGCTTAAGAGTGTGAGGTTTTTTTCAATCTGTCTGCAGGCTGTCTAACTTAAATATTACAGATGTCGGATGTGCTGCTCTTGTTAAAGCACTAAAATCAAAGCCATGTTTCTTGAGAGAGCTCAGTCTGAACAACAGTAGACCAGAAGACTTGGGTATGAAGCTGCTGTCTGATCTACTGAAGAATCCACACTGTAAACTGGAGAAACTACAGTGAGTTACTGACTTACTGTTTGTTTATGTGCACACACACACACAGACACACACAGAGTGTGAATAAAATAATATTTCTTTGGTAAGTGCTGTGTTTTATCATGTTTTATAAAAAAAAAAACAAGTCATTTTAGACTTTAAAATACCAGACCCTCTATGGTGTGTGGAGCAGTTAGCCTGATAGCTAAGCCAGTATTTTCACCAAAACCATCTTCACTTGACTGGCCTAGTTTGTTAGATAGATATTTTAACATTTTGTCAGTGATGAATTGCGAATGTAACTACTTTTTTGGTTAAGTGTGGGGCTATTGAATGAATTGCTCATGTAAATTATTTAGCCACATTCAGATAAGTGCTGCATTCATGATCAAGTTGGATCTGAAGAAATTCAAATTTCTGGTTGGAAAAATCTACTTGAATGGCTTATTCCCACTTGGAAAGTCAGAGTTTTTCAAGAGCTCCAATTTCCTTGAGTAACATTCTGTGACATCACTTCAACATGACAGTGGCCATAGAATAAGGAGTAACAGTGGTGAAAACTCTAGATACATGGAACAAATTTTGTTTCTGTTATCAAGAGAATCCCCCATCTTTCCCAAGTAATACTATATACTGGGGTAATATTTGAGCACTGTTTGATGTTATGAAAATTAGATACCACCATACCCAAGATAATAGTCATGTTTGTGTGTGAGAGAAAATGTAGAGCTTTACATTTACCGATTACTTCTTCTCTCTGCAGGCTGTCTGGCTGCAGTATTACAGAGAAAGGCTGTAGTGCTTTGGTTTCAGCTCTGAAATCAAATCCCTCATACCTGAGAGAGCTGAATATGAGCAACAGTGAACTGGGAGAGTCAGGAGTGAAAGAGATATCAGATCTACTGAAGGATCCACAATGTAAACTGGAGAAACTACAGTAAGTTACTGATAAGCTGTCTGTTTACTCTTGTTTTCTGTTTTTTTTTAATTCATATTGCTGAAGAGAAAAGATTAATCTTTACACAAACCTATTTAGAATCACCAACTCTGTTTCTCACTCATACACAAACACAAATGCAGTCTCATTCTCAACTCTTGTGTGTGTTTGTGTGACAGAGAGATAGTCAGGCATAGAATGTACACTGGAAGTGCTGTACATTGATACGTAGATATTTTGTTTATATTTGTGTTAGAGGAAGATGATTGCAAAGATTGTTTTGTAGTTGTATGTTATTCCTTTGTTTATCTGTTTTATTTTTCCCAAATTCAGTTTAATTTAACCAATTTTTTGGTATTTATTTTTTGGTGATTCAAGTTTTGATATTTGTGCTAGGGATCCATAATAATATCAGAATCAACAATAATTGCTTTTTAAAAAAACAGAAAGATGATAAGATTTGGCTGATGATTCAGACCACTAATGGATGATGTGTTTATTGTACTCCAGAAGTACTTTATTTATTTGACTGCATTTGTACTGTATAGAAATATTATATATCTCTATAATGCTAAATTAGGAAGACATAGTCACAATTTCTACATTATAAATGTTTATGTATTGGCATTGGCATTGGTGGGTATGCACATGAAACCTACCTGCATCAGCCCAAGTCATATGTCAGTGCATCCCTCATTTTTACCTTCAGCTACATCAAATATGAAAAGTAAGATTGCATCATTTCAAATAAAGAAGTATGCTATTCCAAAATAAAAATAAGTAATACCGACATTATTAACAATAATGTTAACATTGAAATGTTTAGCATTAACTAACATAAATAATGCAAACACAAAATAAGTGAAATAAAATCCACTTGTAAGGACTTGGGGGTTCTTTCTAAAGAAAGAAAATGGGGTAGCTGTGGTAAGCCAGCAACCAGAAGGTTCAAATCCCAGATTTGCTGACTGTGTCCTTAGGAAAGGCCTTATTCAGTACTGAAAGCTCAGTAACCTCATGAAAGATTTGAGGAGTGAGGAGAAAAGAAGCTTCCAGAGCGAGGATACATAGGCGCATCCTACGTGGAAAACCTTTTATTATTGTAGCATGTGTCATGGGCATATGGTACCACCTTGTGTAGTTTTGGATAATTACTGCAATTAATGGTGCTGTAACAAATTTAATTATGTTTTGGTGACCAGTGACAAGTCTTGAACATAATGGCTGAGTGAGGGACATGTTTTGCACATTCCTACATCCTTGCATCTCTTCCTTGAATTTTCAGTCAAAATGCTCTGGAGAATAAGTTGTTAGCATGTCTGGTTGTGCTGGTTTTTGTGGCCCTGAGTCTCATAACAGAGGGAAGTGGCTGGAAGAGGTGATGTCCAGGATGAGAGGAGTCAACATAATTTTCCCAGCATGCTTCATCACCCTGCTGTTGCAAATCGTTGGCAGACCACAACCGATGATCCTCTCTGCTGTGCTGATTATGGATGATGTGAGGATGGACTCGATGATTGCAGTGTAAAACTGGATCATCAGACTCTGCAGCTGGTTGAATTTCTTCAGCTGTCCCAGGAAGAACATTCTCTGTTGCACTTCCGTGTTCGTGAATATGGTGGTGCTCTGGAACTTGAGTGACTCCACAGAGGAAACCACAGAGCCATTGATGTTCAGGGGGTTGGGGTGGGGGTTGAGCCTGAAGTCCACCAACATTTCCACAGTCTTTTTCATGTTCAGCAGCAGGTAGTTACTGCCACACCAGGAGACCAGCTTCTTGACTTCTTTTCTATAGACAGACTCATCACCACTGGCACTGAGGCCAACCATAGTAGTGTAATCTGCAAACTTGAAGATTTTTACAGCTGGTTTCTTATAGACACAGTCATTGGTGTAGAGACTGAAGGGAAAGGGGTGAGAGCACACAGCCTTGTGATACTCAAGTAGTGGGGGTCTTGAGGTCTGATATGTGTCTTCCAAGGCACATCTGCTCTCTCCTGTGTTTGGAAAATTCATGATCCACTGGCAGATGTGATCTGGCATAGTTTGACCTGCAGCAGCTCTGGCACTGTTGTTTTGAATGCTGAGCTGAAGTCCAGAAACAGAACTCTAGAACAGGTTCCAGGACTGTCAAGATGCTGTAGCATGAAGTGCAGAGCCAAGTTAGCCATGTCATTGACAGACCTGTTAGCTCTGTATGCAAACTGAAGGGGAATCTAGCAGAGGGTTTGTAATAGCCTTCAGGTGGGCAAGGGCCCAGCATTCAAAGACCTTCATGACTACAGAGGTCAGGGCTACTGGTCTGTAGTCATTTTATCCAGTAATGTACATTTTTTAAGAACTGGAATTATGATTGATGTTTTGAAACTTGTGGAAACTAAGCAATGTTTCAGGGATTTGTTGAAGATGTTTGTGAAAATCTGTGCTAATTGGTCACAGCGGTGCTGTCTGCTGAAAATCCTTTTAATGTCCTGCTTGTTAATGGTGGGATGAGCAGGAGGCAGTTGTGAGAGAGCTAGGGTGATAAATGAGGGCAGGGGACTGCAAGAGAAAGGCTGAGGATTATCCTTTGTATATTCAAATCTGCAGTAGAACTCATTCAGGTTGTTGGTGAGCTGGCAGTCATTCAGGAGAAGGGGAGTCTATTTATTTAGAAAATTCTGTGTGAATTCTGTAAAATCCATATGGCCCTAGTGTTTATGTGTGTTTATTGAGCTGTGCTAATAAGGATTATTTCTCTATCTCTCTGCAGGCTGTCTGACTGTGGTATTACACATAAAGGCTGTGCTGCTCTGGTTTTAGCTCTGAAATTGAATCCCACATCATGTCTGAGAGAGCTTAATCTGAACAACAATTATCCAGGAGAATCAGGACTGAAGAACCTCTCTGATCTACTGGAGCATCCAAACTGTAAACTGGAGACACTACAGTGAGTTATTAAAATATATATAACGTTTTAACATTTAATGTTGGAGTCATTTAAATAATATAAGGAGCAAGTGCTGTGCAAGGAAAACCTACTGAAAGTTCTGAGCTGTTTTGTGTGCGTGTGTGTGTGTGTGTGTACAGTAGGGTCCAGGGCCCCCTACTTAACCCTTTGGACCCCCTGAAAGCCTGAAATTAAAGAATCTGAAAGTGAAATTAAACATTTAGAACATATAGTGATACTTTGGTGTAGATTAAAGACAAATAGACACTCAAATACAAATTCAGAAAAAAAGTAATTGTTTCAGCAGTAAATGCAGCCATGCTTTCTTGTTGTTAACTTACCATGCAAAATCCCAGTGACCTTTTTAGGTATTTAACTAGACTGTATTGAACATACACATTAAATGTTATCCTTAAATGTTATATCGTATCATTATTTGATGATGCTTTACAGAGAAAGAGCCAGAGCAGGATGGGTTCCCCTTTTGAGTCTTAATTATTATTCTAACAGAAAACAATCACCTTCAGTTTGGTTAGCCTAAGTGCTATGCATGGTAGACATTGTAGTAACATGGTGGGTAATAATTTGTAAATTTGAAAATGAACTTGCAGACTTAGATGTTTTTCAGCTTATTAGTCAATGTCTGAAGATTAGATATGCAGTCTTGGCAGATTTAGCAGTCTCAGAACACCTCAATACCAAACATCAAAGTATTTCATGAAAAGTAATATATAAATAAAATAAATACGTAATACAATTTATATATTGTATATATACATATATAAATAAAATACATACTGCATGGGCAAATAGTGCAGCAATTCAAGGAATAACATTTCACAACATAAAATAGCAAAGCTGGAGATTTCATTATCTACGGTACATAATATCATTGAGGGACCCAGAGAAATCTCTGTATGCAAGGAACGAGGCTGAAAACCAATACTGGTTCGCTGTGGCCTTTGGGCCCTCAGGTGGTACTGCATTAGAAAGAGACATGATTCTGGCACCATTAATGCTGAATGATATATGCAGGTTTTAGAGCAACATATGCTGCCATTCAGATGACGTCTTTTTCAGGGAAGGCCTTGCTCATTTCAGTAAGACAATGTCAAACCACATTCTGCACATATTACAACAGCATGACTTCGTAGTAAAAGAGTTCAGGTGCTAAACTGGCCTGCTTGCAGTCCAGACCTGTCACCACTGAAAACATTTAATGCATTATGAAACAAAGAATTTGACAAAGGAGACCCAGGATTCTTGAGCAACTGAAATCCTGTATCAAACAAGAATGGACAAACATTCCACTTTTAAAACTACAGCAGTGTCTCCTCTGTTCCCAAATGCTTACAAAGTGTTGTTAAAAGAAGAGGTGATGCAGCTCAGTGGTAAACATGCCCCCGTCCCAACTTTTTTGAAACATGTTGCTGTATCAGATTCAAAATGGGCATATATTTTTCAAAATAATTATACAATTTCTTGGTTTCAGTATTTTATATGTTGTCTTTGTACTATTTTGAATCAAATTTAGAGTTTAATTCAATTTAAATTCAGTAGGGATTTGCACATAATTGCATTCTGTTTTTGTTTACAATTTGCACAGCATCCCAACTTTTTTGGAAACAGTGTTGTGTATATATTTCAATGTCATACAGAAATAACAGAAAAAAACTCTTGATGTTAATGAATGATAAGTGTATGTTCTTATCTGATTATTGTGTCTTGTTCTGCTTTCTTACAGCATCATGTTATGAGGAGAAGATAAAATCCTACAGCAGAAAATGTGCATCAAGAATAAGGATCTACATGGTAACGTGTTCACTGGTCAAATCTGTGGACATGGATGCAGCACAAGGCGCTCTCCTTATCACCTCACTTCACTTTGTGTAGACCATCCACTGAACCTCCAGAGACCATGAAGCTCATGTTTGAGGAAGACAATGAGAAAAAGATAAAGAAAGCAAACCCTCTGTGAGGTGCTGTAAGTTGAACATTAACATGTGCGTGTGTGATATGAAGATTATGGGCCGACTAGGGTAGCAGCTGAATACATGTAAGAGCATTACATTTTTCCCCTGTCTGTAAAGCGCTTTGAGCTGCCTGCAGTATGCAAAGTGCTCTATGAATGAAAGTTATCATTAATTATTTACTACTATTATTATTATTCCGTTACAGTTACAGAAAAAGACAGTAATCAGACTACAGATATAATGTAGATAAGTGAGCTAGTGAATACTAGTGGGATTACAGTCAAATAAGTCTTGCACACGAAATGCAATATTTCGATGACAAAAATGCAACATTATTTAGCATGAAAATGCTCAAAGTTTGCTCCCCAGTTAAGCGATGAAACTCTCTATGTGGCATCCGCTTTTCTAAAATGGAAATTAGCCCCCCTCAGTTGACTTTTTTGTATGAAGCAAAACGTTGTCAGTTGAAGACATTCTGCCGTTTGGTAAGTTTGTTTACTGCCATGAACATAGTGCATAGTTTTGGCAGTTATGTGAAACCTGAACTATATAATTTGTGTCATAAAATGTTGTACTGTTAAAACTGTTTTCTTGTTTATTGTATTATATGGTTTTAAAAAGACAAGTAATCCAAAAGTAGTGAAAAGTAATCAGATTATGTCATTTTAATGTAGTAATCCTTTGGATTAGGTTACAATTAGATTGTTAAGGGTAATCTCTAATCTGCACCTGCATTTGTCCTCACAGCTGACCAGTCACTATTGAGGAGGGTACCAAAGAGGTTCTTTATAGGGAAAGCTAGTTTTGGCTTCTTCTGAACTCTGAGTGTACAACACAAACTGACTGTGAAATGTTTTCAGTTCAGTTTTTAATAAGTCAGTTGCAGAATATTTATTGCTTGTCTCCTGATAACAATTTTGAACCCTGGTTATGGGTTATTGTTTGTAAATTCTGAGAAGACACAGGGGTGTGGCTACATGGGTAGTACAGGGTGGCAGCTCCCACCCATGAAATATGCATTGCCGCCCCAACCAGTTCAGCTCTGACCCCAAAATATAAGGGAATAAAATGAAAACATTTACAGTGGTGTGGATTAATTACATATACTTTGACTTAAATCTTCTCAAAGCTGAGCTGATTAATACTTTATGATCATTGAGTGTGTCCAGATTATATTGCTGTTCGCTCCTCTGATTGGATCATATACATGCAGTCAGTCAAGCTGAGCGACTGGCATGATTCATTATGCAGATTTTTGTGCTGGGATGTAAGCGAGTAGTGCATAGCAGGAGTTACCTTCATTTTAGATTTTCAAATCTGTTTTAATATGTTTTTATGTATATGATCTCAGTTTATATTATCTTGAATATTTAAATATTCTATAAGACTAAGAAAGGTTCAAGACGTTTCTCTTAAAGACTGAATGAAAAAAAATGTATTCGTATTGTTTTTGATACTAGTATTACTAATGCTACTACTACTACTACTACTTCTCCTAACAATAATGTTAACATCATTTTTAATGCTAACTATTTCTATTATACTAATTAGGGGATATTGTAATTATTATTTTGCAATATTACATACATTCTATTAATTTGTTTTACTTTTAATAGCTAGTTTCATAGCAAGTTGCATTAAAATGTTAAACCAAGGACCCTGCCAAATCTGGCAACCCTGATCAGATTGCTGGCTCTGTTTGGACAACAGTGAGCAGTGCGGTAGTAGAGGAAACAGCATATTAGCCTTAATGGCCATTTTAGCATATTAGCCTTAAAAATGGAAAATGTTTGGTTGATTCTTGTCACAGGAGAGTATTGAAGGTCTGATGAAGCCGCTGAAATCTGCTTTATACCGCAGTAAGTGCTAAACACAACTGTATCTGCTTTATCACTGGGTGCAGTCCACAAACTTTTCAAATCTAGAAACTAGATCTAGCCAGCGTGCTCTCATTTAGTCTTGGTAGTAAACCCAACTGACAACATGCTAGCCAGCTAGCAATCTGAAGCAGTAGGAGGAAATTTATTTGGACTGAAAACTGTTCTGTCCCCATGGAAGTGCATGGGCTTATAAAAGTGGTAAATCTGTCAGTAATCTAATTTCTGTACTGCGTGGCTTTGTACTTCATTACACCCAATTACTCACTTTTGGCATGACTGGTTTGCCAGCAGAATGTAGACTATTTCAAACAGGGTCACTGTTTAAAAGAGTCACTCCAAACTATGAAGTGGGTAAAGTTTTATTTCAGTTCATATTTACTTCGTTTTTGTTGCAACGTTTTTGTAAATAAAGCAAAGTCTTGCACCTTCACTGGTTCTGTGTGTGTTCTGTGTTACTTGAAGAGTGTCTATATAACACATTAATAACATCTTACATAATGCTTCACAACATGTTCATGAACATTTAAATCAACATTGATAAAGCATACATGTGTTACATGATATTTTTAATAAAACAACTGGACACTACATTAACAACTTAATAGAACTATGTAGATACACGGTTACTTTTAGCCAAAAAAGATTCATTTTACCCTTTAAATATCACTACTGTAGCTGACAGCTTGGCTCTTTTCTGAGACATAATGCTAGAACAGTAAGTTGCAAAACAGATACAGGAAACCTTTTTTCTTACAAGAAATCTATTAGCTGTGACACGTTGGAAAATAGCTAAGGTCTTAAGAAAACTGTTGAAATGTCAATCCTTACTGCTAACACTTGCACATGAACTCGGTTTGTAAATTTCCTAACTACAGCTTTTATTTTCCAAAATATCCAGGAACAGTTCATATGACATATGTTTGTTATGTTTATGTGATAAAACATGGATGTGTCACACAAATATCCAGAGTGAATATGGTTTTTATTTATTATGCATTAAGCTTTATTCTATAAGAGCTGTATTAGTTCATAGTTGGAGGTCTGTTTGGTGAAAGTTATTACTAATTGCATTGTAATAGTGCACAATAAGTGATGGTGTTATGAAAATTATTGTGCATGAATTCATCACCGAGATCACATCTTATTAGTGTATAATTGGCAACATTATATACTTATATGGCCTAGATAGCATTGAACAACTATATTGATTAGAGGCTTGAAAGTGCTAGACAAGTTTTCAAAATTTGCATTACAAATTCTACATCTATTCATGATATTTGACTGCAAAAAATGACTGAAAACTCTTCCATAAAAGTGTTCAATTTATCTGCAATTTGTTGTTAAAACTGATTGAAAGTAACTGAAAATATTCTGAGCTTGTATGTTTTAGCTACCAAAAAGCCATGATTTTTACTTTACAATATGGCCTGCACAATGATTTACTAAAACCTTGTTATGCACTAATAAGATGTTAATTTGGGTGATTAATTAATTCTCAGTCACATAATATCTTAAAATCTTTCTTGTGCATTATTACAACTAAAATGCAATTATTAGTGACTTTCATTTAACATGCCTTCAATTATGTACTAATGCAGGTCATAGAGTAAAGCCTCATGTATTGTGAATACATCATTCAGAAGTGTGTAAATGCAACTTTTTTAAACAAAGAACAATGACTTAGATAATATGACTTAGAATAGATTCAAAGCATGTGTTCCTTAAAATATTTTTATGAATATAAACAACTGCTATAAAAAAACTGTACATTCAATTTAAAAGCTTTTCCTTTATACAATAAATATATACCTTCCTGACATTACATTGCCTAGTAGAAGCCACCTCAGATACGTTTTTATAAAATAACAACATTACACAATTACATCACTCTACAACCTTAAAAAAGCTTAATTATGGGCCCTTAAGGGAACAACACAGTGCCGCAAATTTACTTTAGGATGAGCTCTCACTCAGCCTTGAGTTCTCCTTGTGGAGGCCTGTACTGAGACTAAGCTGATAATTTGGTAAAAACAAGAAGTAGTCTCTCATTTCCCTTCTCTTTTGAGCTTTCTCGCTGCGTCAGACGAAACCCCATTAGACTTCCCTGACTTTTCCTAATATATATTCCTGAGCTCCTTGTGTATGATGAAAGAAACATATGTCCTTTTCCTGGATTTGTGAGTTACACCCTCCTGTGAAAGCCTGTCACTCTCAGGCTGCCTTCTGTCCTGTGGGTTGCACCTCTTTAGAACTCTGGTCTCCAGTTTTGCATCTGATCTCTCTGCTGGGAGAGCCGTCACATTTTGCCTTTGATAGTCTTTTGAGTTTACTCATTTTCCCGAGGCCTAATCCTGCCTGTTCCTTAGTTCTGTTTCTGTACTTGGATCCACCCATCACCCTTTGTCTGTGGCTCACTTTGTTAGCAGGATTAGGGTCTGCGTTTGGTTCCGCCCCATGGCCAGCCAGCCCATTACAAAACATGTTGTAAAAGTCCAGTAAATGTTTTTGAATCTGCCATAACCCAACATTTAAGCCCAGCTTCACTAGGATTCTATGGGATATGCTTCCGCTGGCTGTATGTGAAGACAAGCAGAGAGGGGTTTCTTTGAAATGTCTTAATTAGCAGTATAGGCAAACAAAGAAAATGTTTGATAAGAGGTGATGGGTGTTTTAAAATCTTGCATTATAATTTTTTTTAAGTATTGTCTGTGGTTTTAAAGTTTTGGCTGGAGCAGATATTAAAGGGAAACCCTTTGTGAATTTTCTTCACTTTTTCATTTACTATATAGACGTTTCAAAGTGTACTGTCCACACCTCAGGCCAAAGGTCCACACACAAAAACTAAGCTGCAAAAATAGCTTAAATTCATCATTTTTGTGATGACCAATGCATTTACATACATCCACCTATTTAGGTTACAGCCCATTCTCGCTGAAGTTGTACAGGTCATTCTACAGAAACGTCCACTTTTCTGTCTCTCCATAAGAGTCACTGGTGTTACTGATCCTCATTGGTGTTACACATAAGAAAGTGAACACCAGAGACATTTTTAATGAAAAATGCATTTTACAAAATGGCTGCTACAGAGCATCAAACCATATGTTGTCAATCATGAAATATCCACTAAAATATGTAATTTAATCCATTTGTATTCTATTTTTTCACAATTACCTCAGAATAAAGTCGGTCACACCAGTGACTTCAGCTAAAAGCTTCATATGAAATCATGAGCTAAATGAGAAAATCTCTGATAACTGAAAGACTCAGTGGACTCACCATGTGCTTTTCTTCATAGATCCTCAGAAAACAGGTAAAAGGAAGTTGAGTGATGTCATCAGTGTGACTTTTATTTCAAAATAAGAGATTTTTTGTTATGCAGTAACACCAGTAACTCGACTCCTGGGGACAACAACGTTCATTATATATTTTATAATATTTATTTGGCGTTTGTTTTCTTTATGTCATTTAATTTCTATATTCCATAGTCATGTATAAATTATTTATCACTTCTGTGGTGCTTGTAATTCTAGATGATTTAAAAAGCAATATTGCTAAATTGATGACTCAAGAAGGTTTAATTGTTACAATAACTAATTTCTTTATTTTAAAATATAAATAAATTGTAACACTAACGTTTTTCAAGTGCAATATATCTGTAAATGCTAGGAACACAATTATTGACATTTCTGTAGAATGATCCATAAAGACTGATTTAGCTTAAATTTTTGAATGAAGATCAATACAGGACATCCAATCAAAACAGAGCTCATTTAGATATATGTCTTAAAGGCTCAATAACAAAAACAGCTTGTTTAATTCTACAGACATGGAGAGAAGCTGTAAGAGGTCAGTGTAAATACAAATTCTGACTGTTTTGCTTCAAAACTCCACATTAACATGATAAGTTTACCTCATTAGAAAAAAAAATACAAGACAAATGTAGGATATGGGCCCTTTAAGCACTTCCAGTCATGACATCTGTTTAATGGTTTCCCACAGTAGGCTAACTGTTTAGTGCATGTTGCACAACATTAAAGGTTCACAAGCACTGTATATCTATCCTTGGAGTGTCTAGCCTAGAAATCTGTTTGAAAAACATGTAGTAAACCTTTTATTTACATTCTCTGCTTCCTGGAGATTCATTTACATGATCAGGAATAAACCAGTTCAGTGTGAGACACACTCTCAGGGTCTATCACCGTGACTGGAACCCAAATCACACTTGGAGAGAAACGCAGTAAGTGTCTAAATCTTTGCTGAAATGTGTGAATAACAGCAGATGTAGTTGATGTGGTTAGATAGCAGAAGATATAGTCCCACTCTGACTACTAGCAGAGCTCTGTAGCATTTCAGCTGCACTTGCTTTCTTTTCACATAGCAGGCACCATCTGATCAACTTACTCAGTTCCACGTACCTGAGCAAAATTTTGTTGGAAATTTAAAGCATAAATCAGTTACATGTTAATCATTAACATTGAGTTCCTTGTTCCTTTCAATGTTTAATTCCATTATGCTGGCACCATCTAAATTGCTTTGCAAATTGTTACACCTCTCAGTCTTGAGCTTTCATTTTATTTTAAACTCAGAGACCATCAAAAATAGAAGAATCGAGTCTAACACACTTCAGTTTTTATGCTGATTGAAGCTGGATGGGCTGAGAAGTTCCATTGTAGTTGTATTAGTCAGTACTTAAGTACTTTTTGAGTTGCTAGTTTTGTGCTTCTACTGAAGTTGTTTTATGGAAAAGTAACTTTACCAGTAACTTTATCATTGCCTCACAGAAGTAACAATACTACTGCCTAAGTATGGGTTTAGGCTGCTGTACCCACCTCCTGAGATATTGAACAATTTAACCTTTGCGTGGTATTGGGGTCTGTGAGACCCATTTTCAATGTTTACCAAAAGAAAAATGACGTGATTAAATTATTATTTCAACCTTGGATTCCTTGGCCTTTGATCATCTTTCTGTGAAGAACATATACATGTATCACACTGTTCACCCCCTACACATTTATGTTACACATGTGGTGTTGGGTGAACCCGTGGGGAATAAAAGTGTGGAGGTGCTGTGTCTCTTTACTCTGTTCTCCTCCTACATGGCCTGCTGTGCGTGTGTGTATGTGTGTCTGTGTGTGTATGTGTTTGTATATGTGTGTGTGTATGTGTTTGTATATATGGGTGTGTGTCTGTGTGTGTGTGTGTTTGTATATGTGTGTGTGTGTGAGAGAGAGGGTGGACAACATGGACAGGCTGCTGACTGGCTACAGCTGCTAAAGGAGAACCCTACGCTGGCCACTTGTGATATTTTAAACAACTGGTATTTTTACATAAATTATTATGGCTGTATTGGTTTAACAATAATGTGATGGGTCCACCAGACCACTGAGTAACAAACACATCAGCACCACACAAGGGTTAAAGCAGCCTGTTATCCTAGATCATCTTATCTTTCCATCATTATCTTTATTATGATGTCAATACATTTTTACAACATAAACATTTTGTAAAATATTGCCAAGGTTGATTTTTAACAATGCAATAAATCCTACAATAGCACACTCTTATAGATGGCTCTTCAAGGATTCCTTACTAAAGGCAGTGGCTCATACTACCATAATTTCTATATAGGACCATTTTATGCTTAAATGGTTCTCTGCATGGTGAAATTGTTCTTCAGATTGATGGATAATGTGTCATGTATGGTTCTATATAGAACCTTTTTGAAAATGATTCTATATAGCACCAAAAAGGGTTCTGCTATTGTTATGTTATGTTATGTCAAGCTTGTAACTATATAAAAGCACTTTTTGGTGCTACACAGAACCATTTTCAAGAAAGTTCTACACAAGAACCATACACAACACATCCTCCATAAATCTGAAGAACCATTTCACCAGGCAAATGGATGTATATAGGACTCTTATTTCTAAATAGAACCATTCCCTTGAAGAACCCTCTTTTTTTAAGAGTGCAGATATTCCTACCTTCTGATCATGGCTGTCGCTGTCTGATGTAAACTGTGCAGGAATACCATAGATATTAGAACCGCACTTCTCTGGCTTCCATGCACTTCCACATTCCAATAGGAAGCAAAGACTGTTTGTCAAGTTAAATGTTAGCAAGTAGCAAGCAACTGCCATCTGAGACTGTGACAAGAGCTCCCCTGTTTTTAAAAGTTTGACCCAGTAATGGACTGGGAAATCTTTCCCATCTGAAGCAGAGCAGTTTTTGCTTTCAAGTGACTTTCAAATTCCTACAAACCCATTTTATATGGTCTGCCCTATATAGGACAGTACAGGACTTGCATGAAACATGGCCTCCAAAGCGAGGTTTTCTGAGGAGGACGACACAAAGGAACCTGAGAGGTGAGACACTGCATAAAGTATGTTCTCACATTCACCAAAATAAGATCAATAATCTTAGCCTAGTTTGTGCTCTTTTAGTCTTGATTGGCTAGAAAAAGAAACTGCCAGTATACAATACTTATACTTCTAGGTAAATCATCAAATTTTTTATGGTAGTGTTATTTAGACAGCCATCATTACCTACAGTGCCAGCTTACTTTTCTTGTTCCCAGGGTAATTTGAAATATAAATCCATTCTTCGTTTTACTTCATGAAGCCAGATGCTTGTTGGATGAACCCATCAATGTTGTCAGTCATAATATATAACAAATGTAAAATGCCATCATCTTCAGTTAGACCTAACACATATGAATTCTTTCATGTACAAACATTCATATCTGCATTTGAGACATTACAGTTCACCAGAAATATAGGAGCTGGCTTAACTATATACAACCCCATTTCCAAAAAAGTTGGGACACTCTGCAGAATGTAAATAAAAATAGAATGCCATGATTTGCAAATCATGTAAACCATATTTTTAAAGGAGAATACTACACAGACATGTTGAAACTGAACAATTTTATTGTTTTTTGAAAAATATATGCCCATTTTGAATTGGATGCCAACAACATGTTCCAAAAACAGTTGGCAGCATTTCTGGATCCTGTTTATATATGGTTTCTTCTTTGCATTTTAGCGTTTTAACTTGCATTTGTGGATGCAGTGATGAACTGTTTTTACAGACAGTGGTTTTCAGAAGTGTTTCTGAGCCCATGCAATGATTTCCACAACAGAATCATGTCTGTTTTTAATGCGGTGCTGCCTGAAGGCCCAAATATCATGGCCTGTATATATTGGTTTTTAGCCTTGTCCCATGCATACATAGTTTTTTTCTAATTCCCTGAATCTTTTAATGTTATTATGTACCATAGATGATGAAAAGCAAAAGTTCTTTGCTAATTTATATTGAAAAACGTTATTCTTGAATTGTTGCACTGTTTGATCATGCAGTATTTCAGAGAGTGGTGAACCCCTCCCCATGACACACTTCATCATATTCTACATAACTTTCATTAGCTACATTCAAATGGTGGGTGTTGTATGAGAGTTGTAACTGTTTTCTTTCCAGTCAAATAGATGGGTGATGTAATTTTAAACGCTTATAATAAAAGAAGCTGAACTCACAACTTTTTTGTTCTACTGAAAATCGACCCATTTTTCCATAAATCTGGGCTATAAACTATAAACTGATGGTGTCTCTTCAGTGATCTGCTCTATAAAAATTATTTTTATAAAATAATACAAAGAGCGTCTAAGATTTTTGGCTTTCAACAGTAAATTGTAAGCATATAGCAATATGTATATGATCATAAAACACACGTTCTGTTAATTTGAGGGAAGCTTTTATAAAAAAAATAAGTAAATAAATAAAATAAAAATTTACATTTATTTCATGCAGTTACTGAATAATTTGCCTTAAGATTTGGTCACGTAAATTCAGATGGAAAAAAAACAAAATATACTGTGGTCAATAAAAGGTTAGCCATCAGGTGTTTTTTAGCATTACACAACTTTACCAGCCTTTTATTGCCCCTGTCCCAACCTTTTTGGAACATGTTGTTGGCATCAAATTCAAAATGGCCATATATTTTTCAATAATAACATTTCTCAGTTTCAACATTTAATTTGTTGTCTTTGTACTATTTTCACTGAAATATAGGGTTTAAATGATTTGCACATCATTGCATTTTATTTTTGTTTACATTTTACACAGCGTCCCGACTCTTTTGAAAATGGGGTTGTAGTTTATAGCCCAATGTCTCTTTGTCCTATGACAATGGCCACTAATAGAGATGAAATTCATGAAACATGAAAGACTACAACTCTTAACAGGCAGTTCATTGTGTTTTAGTCTGACTCAGGGTAAGTGGACACAGTCACCTGAACCCAGCTGCATATCTATGAAGAGTGATGGCTCAATATTCAGAAATATTGTCTTCGGAGAGAGAGAATGTTCTACTGAGATGAGGTAAGGACAGTCACATGGTTTAGTACAGTGTTTCTGTATTTTATTATATACTTTTTATTTTATCATATGTTTGAGAGCCTCTGTAAATGACATCATGTTCTTAGTAGGCAACCTCCTGAACTTTTATTATGGAGAAGTATATCTCTTGTTGAGTGTGTGTTTAAACCCATTCACTTTCTTAATGTTTAATTATTCATCTCAGTGAGAGAACATTTTGGAATGTGAACATTAGCAGAAAGATGCTGTATTTTAGAAACCACCACTGCCCAAACGGTCTGAAGTTTCTCAATTTTACCATATCAGACATATGAAGTCTACAAATCTTAACAACTGGTTGAATCTGTTTTAGTCTGATTCAGGGTAAGAGATCAAGCTCATCTGATCCCAGCTGTGTGTCTATGAAGAGTGATGGGTCAATGTTCAGAGATACAGTCTTCAGAGAAAAAGACTGTTCTACTGAGTGGAGGTAAGGACAGTCAGTATTTCTGTATTTTATTTGACACTTTTAAATTTTATTATATGTTTAAAAACTTCATTGTAAATGATGCCTTATTTCCAGTAGGTGACCCATCCTATATTTAAAAAAAAAAAATTTACATACATTCACACATACACACCTACAACATGAATAATCGCCTGTCCTGAGCTGAGTCAAGTATGTTGTTTACGATAATGTGTATAATGTGTATTTAATGTTGTGTGTTGTGTGTGTATAGATATCATTTATTGACATTTAAACTTTGCCCACAGAGCCCAAAAGCAAAGATCAAAAGTTACCAACAGAAAAGATTTGGACTCTATATTCAAGGTGTGTGTTTGTTTGTGTATGTTGTTATCAATGTGTGTGTAAACTTGTGTGTACATGTCTTGGAATCATATATAATCTGCATTTCCATGTTGCTTTACCATTTTCATATAAATGTTTAAGTTTAATGTGTTTATAGTTACATTTTAGATTTTCATTGGAAATATATACACTGTAAGAATGAAACTTCTTAATCTAAAGTAAGATCCTTGGTTACCTTAAAATGTTGAGCTCATTGAACTTCTAATATGTAAATTAAGAGAAAAATGATGTGTTTTACATTTGTCAACTTATTATTTAAAGTTCAATAAACTCAGAATTTTAAGTAAATCAGATTAGTTACTTTTAAGTTAAAAAGTTATTTTTTTAATTTACAGTGTACAATACTGTGCAAAAGTGCAAAAGAAAATTGTTTAAAAGAGTTTATCTGGACAATAGCCATGTTTTTATTTGTAATAACACTATATAAAGCTAGAATATATGCAAAAACATTTAACCCAATCAAGAGCAACAAGAATGTCTTGTTCTTTAAAACATAGTTGATATCTTCTGAGCTACTTGCAAGAACAACTGAATTAATTTGATATTTCATGATAATTGGACCAATACAAATGGTCCAAAACTACTTGGAATAAAGTAATGTTACATTAATTTCCATTGTAGTTAAGAATGTTTTACCTTCTTGTGTTAAGTTACCTTGTTAGAGATATAGGGTTTAGTTACAGCAACAATATAGTATGTCCCATGTGAGCCTTGGTAATTTATTGTATATATCCAGTAAATTCTTTAATGGACACTGGACTGAGAACCACTGATCTATGACAATATGATATTTTAATAGTTTTTGGTACTGTTTATTCTCAATTAGAAATTGCAGTACAAAGTCATCTCACTGGTGAAAAATGATCTGAAGAGGATCAAGAAATTACTGCATTCAGATTATGAAGCATGTCCTGAAGATGATATGCAAGTTGAGGAGGATCAGAGTAGTGTCCGAGAGGGTGCACTGAAGATCACACTGCATGTTCTCAGAAGCATGAATCAGACAGACCTTGCAAACACATTACAGATGAGTAAGAGCTCTGTGTTATAGGGTTGAATTTTAAAATAGTAATACTTTCTTAAGTGACACTGATAAAATAGTATTGCTATATAAAATATTACATAAGTAAATAAAGTAAGACTGAATGCTGAAAGCTAAAAGTCACAATAAGTATCAGAACTGGCTCCTGCTTCCCTCGGAAAGCTCAAATCTGCACTTAGGGCCAAATTTCAGAAAATTAATGAAGGAATCGCATTTCATGGAACCTCAACACTTCTGAATGAGATCTACACAGAGCTCTACATCACAGAAGGTGGGAGTGGAGAGGTCAATAATGAGCATGAGGTGAGACTGATAGAGACAGCATCCAGGAGACCAGCAACACAGGAGAGACCCATCAACTGCAATGACACATTTAAGCCCTTACTTCGACAAGATAAGCCCATCAGGACTATGCTGACTAAAGGAGTTGCTGGAATTGGAAAAACAGTGTCTGTGCAGAAGTTCATTCTGGACTGGGCTGAAGGAAAAGCAAACAAGGACATTTTTTTCATATTTCCACTTCCTTTTAGGGAGCTGAATATAATTAAGAAGGAAAAACTCAGTCTTGTGGATCTTCTGCATTGCTTTTTCATAACAACAAAGGAATTAAAGCTAAGAGACTATGACCAGTACAAAGTCTTGTTCATCTTTGATGGTCTGGATGAATGTCGACTTCCTTTGGATTTCCGAAACAATGAGAATTTACTTGACATAACACAGTCAGCTTCAGTGGATGTTCTGCTGACAAACCTTATCAAGGGGAATCTGCTTCCCTCTGCTCTTCTCTGGATCACCTCTCGACCAGCAGCAGCCAATCAGATCCCTCCTGAATGTGTCGATCAGGTAACAGAGGTACAGGGTTCAGTGACCCTCAGAAAGAGGAATACTTCAGAAAGAAGATCATTGACCAGAGTTTGGCCAACAGAATCATCACACACTTGAAGTCCTCAAGAAGCCTCTACATCATGTGCCACATACCGGCCTTCTGCTGGATTACAGCTACTGTTCTAGAGAGAATATTTGATAAAGTGAAGAGTGGAGAGATCCCCAAGACTCTCACTCAAATGTTCATATACTTTATGATCTTTCAAATCAAACATAGCAGCCAAAAGTACCAAGGAAAAAGTGACCCTGATCCTGACCAGACTAGAAAGATCATCTGGGCACTGGGAAAACTGGCTTTCCAACAACTAGAAAAAGGCAACCTGATCTTCTATGAGGAAGACCTGAGAGAGTGTGGCATTGAGGTCAGTGATGCATCAGTGTACTCGGCAGTCTGCACTCAGATCTTCAGAGAGGAGTTGGGGCTGCACCTGGGGAAGGTGTTCAGCTTTGTGCATCTGAGTGTTCAGGAGTTTCTGGCTGCTTTATTTGCACTTCTCTCCTTTATCTCTGAGAACAAAAATGTGCTAGAACAACAAGCTGTATTCAACGCTACAATGAGTGATTTCCTCGAGTGTGCAGTGGACAGGACCTTACAGAGTGAGAATGGACACCTGGATCTTTTCCTCCGCTTTCTTCTTGGTCTGTCACTGGAGTCCAATCAGATTCTCCTACAGAGCCTGCTACAGGCTGGAAGCAGCTCTCACAACCACGAGAAAACAGTCGAGTACATTAAGGAGATGATCAGGAAGAATTGCTCTACAAATAAAAGCATCAATCTGTTCCATTGTTTGAATGAACTCAATGATCATTCTTTAGTGCAGGAAGTGCAAACATACCTGAGCAGAGGAAATCAACACTCTCTCTCTAGAATTAGTCTCTCTCCTGCTCAATGGTCAGCTCTGGTGTTTGTGTTGCTGAACTCAGTTGAGGTGCTGGATGAGTTTGACCTGACAAAATATGGCAGATCAGAGGAATGCTTTCAAAGACTGTTTCCAGTGATCAAGGCATGCCGAAAGGCTGTGTGAGTACTTTTAATTATAAACGTGTTTCAACATTTCTTAATATAAATATGCAAACCAAATATGTGCAACAAATATGTATAATGAAGATCACAGTGATCTGAATGCACAATTTTATAGGATATTGGGTTTCCGAAAGACAGTCACAGTTGAAGTAGCCAAGCGTGTTTGAAAGTGTTAGGTCTGATTAGCAAAATGGGAAGCTCAAGCAATAATCCACATGTAAAGGAGTTGGATAAAATAGTGGATAACACTCCTTTCCCACTTTAGACAGCATCCTTTAATATTAAAGAAATGCATGTAACTGGAACAAAAGAAAAGAGTAAGAGTAGAACAGAAAAACAGGCATGTATGAGTAAACTGAGCTTATTACTCATTCACCTTTTATTAGCTTCATTCTTAAAAAAAAGTGAAGCAGAGCAAGCTGGGAGCCAGCTGTGTTGTATGGTGGCAAATTCCCACCACTCTACCACGTTGCATCATGCCGTTTATCCCAGAAGAGCTGAAATAGTCTGATATTGATAACTTCAGCTTCTAAGAGTGTGCAACTGGATTGGAAGAGCTCAAGTACTTGACTTGCTAGCAAAGGCAGACTTGCCTGCTGCCATGCTTCACTGCATAAATGGTAATGTTGTGACTCACAATATTTTCTCTCTTAGGCTGTGTGGTTGTAATCTCACAGAGAAAAGCTGTGCAGCTCTTTCCTCAGCTCTCAGCTCAAACACTTCAAGTCTGAGAGAGCTGCACCTGAGTAAGAATGAACTCCAAGATTCAGGAGTGAAGCTGCTCTCAGCTGGACTGGAGAATCCACACTGTAAATTGGAGACACTGGGGTGAGATGATCATTTTCTCACTGAGGATGGAGATAACACACACAGACAGTGGATTAACACTGTGTGTGTGTGTGTGTGTGTGTAAAAAGAGAAAAAGGGATTTTTTAAAAATAGCTCTTTTTGTAGTTTATTTTTCTGTAATTCAGCTTCAATTTGGCTGATATGACAAATGTTTTGAAGCATTGTGTGTATTTTGTAAATGTTAGTGTACTGAGATCATCCTCACTCTCCTAGACTGAGATGGTGTAATCTCACAGAGGAAAGTTGTACGGTTCTGGCCTCAGCTCTCAGCTCAAACACCTCAATTCTGAGAGAATTAAATCTGAGTTACAATAAACTACAGGATTCAGGAGTGAAGCTACTCTCCATTGGACTGAAGAATCTAAACTGTAAACTGGAGATACTGAAGTAAGTTTATCACTTTCTTACTGTGGATACCTAACAGGTGTAGTTTCTCACATCAAAAACTGTGAATGTGTGTGTGAAAAGAGATGATACTGTATTTTATGCATAGTACACTATCATTTAAGCATCCTGCTGAATCTAATACCAATATGCATTTTGCAGTTTTGGTTGTGTGTGTTTTTTGACAATGATGCTATGATACAATCACTATTCTCTCCTAGACTGTTTGTATGTAACCTCACAGAGGAAAGCTGTGCAGCTCTGGCCTCAGTTCTTAGCTCAAACACTTCAAATCTGAGACAACTGGACCTTCGTGACAATAAACTGCAGGATTCAGGAGTGAAACTGCTCTTTGCTGCACTGGAGAATCCACATTGTAAACTGCAGAACCTGGGGTAAGAATATCATAGCTTACTAAGAGTTACTATCTTGTTAATAGTCTTAATACAGGTATGTGTTTTGTAGTTATACTTGGATATGTGTGTTTTTATGTTTGAAATTGCAGTCATTTTTTCTCCTAGGCTGTGTTGGTGTAATCTCACAGAGGAAAGTTGTGCAGTTCTGGCATCAGCTCTTAGCTCAACCTCCTCAAGTCTGAGAGAACTGAGCCTGAGTTACAACAAACTACATGATTCCGGAGTGAAGCTGCTCTCTGCTGGACTTAAGAGTCCAAACTGTAAACTGGAGAAACTTGGGTAGTTGTTGTGGTTTACTCTGGGGTGCTGTTAAAATCATAGGGAGGCAGAGGAGTGAATTTTCTCACTCATAAATACAAGGACAGAATAACAGGCAATAGTCAGAGTGTGTAAGTCTAAGGTTGTAAAATTGCCAATAAACAACAAAATGCTTAAGAGAACAGCACCACAAACATGTAACCAAAGGGCTAATGGCTAAATATTATTCATAGCAGGCTGAAAATCAGTAACTCACTATCATCACTAACTCAACCATATCTGTGAATGTGAAACCAACTTGAATGTACATGAACTAAAAAGTGCATATAACGGTTTATCATAAGAACTGTATATATAAAGTCATACAGCACATAAGCAAATCTATTTGAGATTATTTAAACTCTCACTTCAGTTTGAGGTAAGTATTTGATGTAGGTATCTAATTTGTATGATGTTAATTAGTGGTTACATTAGCCTTGTAGCTCCACTGCAAAACTAAAGAAGGACACTTGGCTTGGTGACTTGGTGGATCAACTTTATTTGAGATAAAGTTGATTATTCACCAAACAATTGCATTTGAGCTCTCATCCTCATAGAATGTGATAAATTGTCTGTGTTTGTGTGTGTGTGTGTGTGTGTGTGTGTGTGTGTGTGTGTTTATGTGTGTGTGTAAAGGTAGGCAACATGGCTGCATGTTATAGTTATTGTGATAAATCACAATATGCATTTCCGAGTATACATATTATCAGTGCATCTAGAACACTGAACAGATACATATATCATAAAAAAGACAGAAGTGTCTGTTTTTCTGTTTTTTGATTCATATGTTTTGTGAAATTCTCTTCAGGTCTCATGATTCCTTATACATTTTGCCATATTTCCCATCTTTATATTTGCATTTTTTTTAGCATTACTGTTTTTTTTCCTATTTTGCCAGCTGACCTGTGAGTATGTATTTTTGTGGGTTAATTGTGTGTGTTTTCTGTTTTTGAAATGGCTGTGTTAATGAAGTATAACCATTTCTCTTCTAGGCTGTGTGGCTGTAATCTCTCAGAGAACAGCTGTGCAGTTCTGGCCTCAGTTCTCAGCACAAACTCCTGTCTGAGAGTGCTGAAGTTGAGTGTCAATGATCTGCAGGATTCAGGAATGAAGCTGCTCTCTGCTGGACTGGAGAAGCAATGCTGTAAACTGGAGACACTAAGGTGAGATCACCAACTCTTTCTCTCTCACACACATAGGTAGTCTCATTCTTTTGCCTTCTATCTATGCATGTGCACCATCTGTGCCTACAAGGAGTTTTCCTCCTTCATGCGACAGGTTATGTAACTGCAGTATTACAGAAGAAGGCTCTGTTGCTCTGGCTTCAGCTCTGAAATCAAACCCCTCACACCTGAAAGAGCTGGACCTGACCCACAATAAACCAGGAGAGTCAGGAATGAAGCTGCTGTCTGATCTACTGAAGGATCCACACTGTAAATTGGAGAAACTACAGTAAGTTACTGACTTGCTGCCTCTTTTGTCACACAGAGATAGAAATGTTATTAGCATTTTGGAAGACTTCAGCTTTGCTAAATCGATTATGTTAAACAACAGCAGGCAATAAAAATTAAACTTCTCATAGAGGAATTACTCAAACAAGGCACAACTCTAGTCAAAATTGATCATAAATGCAAATTTCAACATTAGTGTAATGAAGACTGTCCAGATAGGTTTGAATCCATGATTCCTGTTTACTCAAAACCTAGTATCAAAAATCACAAAAACCAGAATCAGAGTCAGAGACAATCCGAGAAGTCAAAAAAAAACAAAAACAACAAAAAACAGAACAGATCACAGGTACAAACAGAGTCAAGAAGTATAGAAAATTTCCAGGCAATCCAAAAATAATCCAACAGATGTGAACAAACACCGCTTGTTACGCAGATGAACTGGCAATACTTCGCAGAGATCCAGTGTGAGTGAAGGTCCTTATAAAGGGAGGTTAATGAGCTGCAGGTGAGAGAGTTCAAGGTGTAACTAGGAAGCAAGTCAGTACGCAGCTAAACTCATGTCTGGTCGGTGCATGTGTAAATTTGAGTGTAAAATTTTAACAAATGGAAACACTGCCAACATATAATGGGTAAATGTGGATCAGAATTTGTAACCTTGGATCTTTATTAGGTCATTAGGACCAGGAATTTGTCAAATTTAGCAGGCCTAGAAAGCTTTAACACTGCACTTGCACTTGAAAGCCTATGTCCACACACACGTCATCTTACTAGCTGTTCTAGTGCCAGAGGAGAAAAAAGAAGCTGCTCCAATCCATAGATATACATACTTAGATGCTGCGTTGTCTGTTGTTCTCTATCTGAGGCAATACCACTGCACGTCCGCCATGTTGGAGAGGTCAAGATTTGTTTGTGAACAAATTCACTTGTATTGAGAGACGATGAGTCTCAGGATGAAATCAGCCACAACTTCCTTATTACTCAACCGATTTTCACCAAATTTCTTTTGTTATAATCCCCAGACACTGTTTAATCTAGGTTGCATGGGCTACTCTCAGTAGCTTTTATTTCTATAATAACGGATTGTGATAATTAGCCATCTGGACCAGCAGGAAAGTATTCAGTCTGCACCTGATGTTAAGAACCGATCAATCCACCAGCAAATTCATCAATATGTGAATCACTTCTAGTCTTAATATACATTAAAATAAAATACCCCCCCCCCAAAAACACAGTAAGAAGGGGTGAAGCTAAAGTTGGCTTCCTATTCGCCAGCTTCTTGTCCAAGTTTTGTGATCCAGCTTCTTGTTTGAATTTTCCCATTCCACCTTAAATTGTGCAGCTTCAGGCACCAGAAAGTAACTGCTGCACCATTTAAAATGGAATGGGGAAATTTTAACAAGAAGCTGGCAAATAAGAAGATAACTTTGTGCAAGAAGGTGCTAACATTAATCTATTATTAATATCTACACAGATTAAAGAATGCTATAACTTACTGAGCTGCAAAGCGTTAAACATCACAATAAGACTCCCTGAATAGACTATTAGATGAAACAAGCTTAATATAAAATCAGAGGGAAAAAAATCACATCAACAGGTTGTGCATCACCAACCACACAGCCAAATCTACACATAAACATCACACAAACAATACACATCACACAAACATGAGTGTGGATCATTGCATTTCCTCCATTATATAATCCTATCCCACTTTCTGAGAGCAATACTCTTGAAATAGTGTAATTATGGACAGTATCTTTCTTAAACAGTCGCTCTGTAATAGTACTGAATGCAGTCCAGCAGCAATGTTGAATTCCCCCAAAATGGCAGCGCTGTTGACGTACCTGGCTGGACCCAACGCAGCATCTAGGTATGAATATCTATGATCCCTGGACTGGAGTGTGCATGCTTGTTTTCATGCACATTGAAATTTACATGCACTTCGACCAGACATGAGTGTCTGTGGTACATATACATCAAAGATGAACATCATGAATAACAAAATTCTTTTATTTTTACATATTATTAATATAATAAGTCAATTATAAAACGAAGACAATAAAAAAAATGAAATAGAGACAAGTTTCCAATGAATGATCTGATGACTTGGGTTTTAGGAAGCCATGACTATCATTTTCCATGATTAGGAAGATCGGACTAATTTCTGGAGTCCATACTCTTATTATATCAAGTGGATTTAAAGATGATTCTAGTAGAAAGGAGTAGATGGTTGAGGCAGAGCTGGATAGCTGACCGTTAGGAAAGATTAAACTATGCAGTGGATTGATGGATTGATTTAAGTTCCATGGAGTGGAGATCTAATACATTTATACATGATGAAAGAAGTGTTGGGTAAGCCATACTGATTCTTAATGTCTTGAAAAGTTTTTGATCCCTTGTCATCTTAGCTCTCCTCCAAGATTATGGTATTGTTTTGGGCCCATTTGCACTAGTGAAAAGAGGCATTTCCTGAAAAATAAAGTTATTAAAAACAAAAAATTGCTGGCAGAATGTTTTTTGTACACCTTTATACAACTGAACAAATTCCACTGCAGCATTATTTATTTGCACTTCACTTCATTGTTTTTCATTGTTTGATACCATTTTGGTTTAATTTCTTACAGCCTCTAGTGACTGGCTTCCTGGCCTAGTATGAGTGTCATAACAGTTATGAAGAGGGGATAAAATCACACAGCAGAAAACAAGCACTGAGGAAATGAATCTACATGGTAATGTGTTCATCAATCATTTCTCGAATCAAATCTATGAACACGGCTGCAACTCCGGAGACTCGTCTGTCAAACTCCTCCTCATGTTCATATGAAATTTTTGCATGTTTTGCATTTTTGATATTACTAAACTAGTAGACGTTCAGTAGGTGGTCAATTTTATGTGGGATTCATCTCAGTGACAATGCAAAAGCGTTACTTTTAATGTAAGTTATTATAAAGAGATTTTATTCCAATCAGTTTTGGAACATTTCCGTTGGTCCATTCATCATGAAATTTTCACATAACCTAAAGAACAGATTCTGTGCTCAAATGATGTAGATAATTGAAAATCCCTAAATTGGAAACTTTTTTTGACATAGTCATAGAAAATTGGTATAAAAGAAACAAAAAAAGAGATGAATTTGAGAATTTAAGACATTTCATGTATATGAATATGTATATGAAATATATTATATTACATGTTGTCATTTACAACATGTAATATAATATATTTCAGAGTGATATGGACATTTGTACCATAATTTGTACCGTAACAGTGATACATACATTACATATCATTTTTGGAATAAAGAACTTATTTGAACTTGAACTGAACTGTGGTTTATTAATTAGGCTGATCAAAATATTGTTAAGTAAGAATATTTTATCTTTAACTGAGTATGAATTTTGACAATTGTGAAAACTCAGTTTCTACAGCAGAAGTAGACTCTATGCTGCCCTCTAGTGGGTTAGTAGTATGTTACAGAAATGTTGCAGTGTTAATGAACTCTTCAGCTTGTTGACATCAGCGTGGCACTACACGTATCTGGAAGGGTCTGGGGCCTAAGGTGATGCCCACCGTTCGCTCTAACCCGAGAGTCTGGCCCTCAGGAGCGTGAAAAGTAAAGCGCTGCATCAGAGAGGTGAAGAAGAGGAAGAGCTCCATACGGGCAAGCTGCTCACCTGGACACATCCGCTTACCTGCCAAAGCACAGCGCTAGTCAGTGGATTTAATGGAGCCATTCACATACCTACTATAAATTAATTACAAAAGTAAGCTGAAAAGCTAAATTGTGTTAAATTCATATGAAAATAATGTACACATTAGAATCAAGTAAATTCAGAGCATAACATTTTTCATTGCAGCAATAAACCCACATTCAGTTACCTGCCAAACTACTGCACCAGTCAGCTGATTTCAAGAGCTTCAGCTATAAACTGTTTTATTTACTTGAGTACAAAATGCAAATTTTTTCAGCATTGTTTCTAATACAATTTTGAAAGTGCATCTTTTAATCAGAAATATTTACAATAAATTAACACCCTAAAAATCATTATATGCTGCTAATACTTTTACAGTTGCATAACTTGAAATGTAGATGGATTGTGAGCAGGCTAGCTGAATAGCATGCTGATGCTAATATACTGCAGCTAATATACATACTAGTGTTGTACTTTTAACTAGGAACAATAGTGAAAAGGAACTGGACTACGGACTGTTTTACTCCCAAAAAAGGAATGTATGGGCAGTGACAGTGGAGGACAGTTGGTTATCTTTAGGTTACCCCACAACAACTTCTTGTTTCTACTCTCATTGTCCATTTTATCAGCTCCACTTACTATATAGGTGCACTTTGTAGTTCTACAATTACAGACTGTAGTCCATCTGTTTCTCTGCGTGCTTTGTTACCCTGTTCCTCAATGGTCAGGACCCCCATGGGCCCCCACAGAGCAGGTACTATTTGGGTGGTGGATCCTTCTTAGCACTGCAGTGACACTGACGTGGTGGTGGTGTGTTAGTGTGTGTTGTGCTGGATCAGACACAGCAGTGCTGCTGGAGTTTTTAAACACTGTGTCCACTCACTGCCCACTCTATTAGACACTCCTGCATTGTCAGTCCACCTTGTAGATCTAAAGACAGAGATGATAGCTCATCTGCTGCTGCACAGTTTGTGTTGGTCATCCTCTAGTCCTTCATCAGTGGCCACAGGACACTGCCCACAGGACGCTGCCCACAGGACACTGTCAGCTGGATGTTTTTGGTTCTCAGTCCAGCAGCGACACTGAGGTGTTTAAAACTCCAGCCGCACTGCTGTGTCTGATCCACTCAGACCAGCGCAACACACACTAGCACACCACCACGACATCAGTGTCACTACTGAGAATGACCCACCACCCAAATAATACCTGCTCTGTGGGGGTCCTGTGTGGGTCCTGACCATTAAAGAGCAGGGTAAAAGGGGGCTAACAAAGTATGCATAGAAACAGATGGACTACAGTCTGTAATTGTAGAAGTACAAGTGCACCTATATAGTAAGTGGAGCTGATAAAAAGGACAATGAATGTAAATACATGTAGGTGAACTTGTGAATAGTGTAGTCATTTTTGAAAATCATTGGATTTGGGCTAGTGAATTTACTTTTGATCTTAACTCGGTTTCTGATTCATTCAGTTGTGGCATGGACTTAGACTCCTATTTCACTATTACAATGCATACTGAAGTAGTTTCAGTGAAAATTACCTATTGAAAAGGGAATGAAGTTTTCTCTCTTCACAAATCTGCCGTTTTCATCCAGAAAGTGTTCTGGGTTGAACTTGTCGGGAGTGCTGTACTCATGCTTGTCCTGCAGGATTGGGTTCAGGAAGGGGACGATCATCATTCCCTGGGGAAGAAAGAAAAACAGGCCAATGTCAACAGAAATTGATGTGTATGTCTTCTTCTCTGTCTGCTACTGCAATCTCTGACCTTAAATATACAGTGGCTTTTCTGAAGTAACTTGACTTACATACAAGACATAGTAACCTAGTAATGGTTGGAATCTCTGGAGGCCACACGGTATGATTCTCACAATACTTGAGCCACAAAATGATTCTTTTGCGATTTTCCTGAGAAGTTTAATAGGTGTCATGATATGTCACAATTTATTATTTACTATTTATTGACTTCTTCTGAGAAATGGACACAGACAATCGTGTACCCGAAGAAGCAACATGGAGAGGCCCACCACCCGCAAGGTCCAGCACGGGGGAGTGGTGCAGTGCCGTATAGGCAGTGGGAGATTGCGGGGGGGCCCCTGGTGGCCTAGGCCCCTGCGGCAGAAACTGGCTCTTGGTACGTGGAATGTAACCTCACTGGGGGGGAAGGAGCCGGAGCTTGTGCGAGAGGTTGAGAGGTACCAACTAGATATAGTTGGGCTCACCTCCACCCACAGTGTCGGCTCTGGAACCAAACTCCTTGATAGGGGTTGGTCCCTCTCCTACTCCAGGGTTGCACAGGGTGAGAGGCGCTGGGCGGGTGTGGGGATACTCACGAGTCCCCGACTGGTAGCCATGCAGTTGGAGTTTGTCCCGGTGGACGAGAGGGTCACCTCAATGCGAATTAAAATCGCAGAGAGGAAAACTCTGACTGTTGTGTGTGCTTATGCACCAAAAAGTAGGTCGGAGTATTCGGCCTTCTTGGAGCAAGTGGGCGGGGTTCTGGAAAGGGTCCCGCCCACAGACTCCATAGTCTTACTGGGAGACTTCAATGCTCATGTTGGCAATGACTGACCTGGAGACCTGGAGAGGCGTGATTGGGAAGGACGGCCTGCCCGATCTAAACCCGAATGGTGAATTGTTATTGAACTTCTGTGCTAGGCATGGATTGACCATAACGAACACCAAGTTCGAACACAAGGATGTTCATAAGTGTACATGGTACCAGAGCTCCTTGGGTCATAGATCAATGATCGACTTTGTTGTCATTTCATCTGACTTGGGACCATATGTTCTGGACACTCGGGTGAAGAGAGGTGCTGAGCTGTCAACTGATCACCATCTGGTGGTGAGTTGGATCAGATGGCAGGGAAGACTGATGGTCAGACCCGGTAGGCCCAAGCAAATAGCGAGGGTGTGCTGGGAACGACTGTCGGAGGCCCCTGTTCGGAAAGATTTTAACTCCCACCTCCGGGAGAGCTTTTCTCATGTCCTGGAGGAGGTAGGGGACATGGAGTCTGAATGGACCCTGTTCAAAATCTCCATTGTGGAAGCTGCCAGGCGTAGGTGTGGCCAAAAGCTTGTTGGTGCCTGTCAGGGCAGTAACCCAAGAACCCCCTGGTGGACACCGGGGGTGAGGGAGGCCATCAAGCTGAAGAAAGAGGCCTTTAGGGACTGGATGGCCCGAAGGACTCCCAACTCAGCAGATAGGTACCAACAGGCAAAAAAGGTGGCAGCCGCAACGGTGGCAGAAGTAAAATCCAGGGTGTGGGAGGAGTTTGGTGAAGCCATGGAAAAAGACTTTCAGTCGGCCTCAAGGAGGTTCGCTCAAGGAGCGGTCGGGGTGGCTGCGCCCAAGCTGTATTCGGCAGGGGTGGAGAAACTCTGACTTCAAATGAGGATATTGTCGGTCGGTGGAAGGAGCACTTTGAAGAACTTCTTAATCCGGGAGACATGCCTCCCTCACGGGAGTCAGGGCCAGAGGCTTCTGGCGTGTCAAGCTCCATTTCCCTGGTCGAGGTCACTGAGGTAGTTGGCAAGCTCTTCAGTGGCAAGGCACCGGGGGTGGATGAGATTCGTCTGGAGATGCTTAAGGCTCTGGATGTTGTGGGGCTGTCATGGCTGGCACGCCTCTGCAATATTGCATGGACCTCGGGAACAGTACCCTTGGACTGGCAGACCGGGGTGGTGGTCCCTATTTTTAAGAAAGGGGACGGGGGGTGTGTGCAAACTATCAGGGTATCACACTGCTCAGCCTCCCTGGGAAAGTCTATGCCAAGGTGCTAGAAAGGAGACTTCGACCAATAGTTGAACCTCGGATTGAGGAGGAACAATGCGGATTCCGCCCCGGCCGTGAAACAATGGACCAGCTTTTTACCCTCTCACAGATTGTTGAGGGGGCATGGGAGTTTGCCAACCCAGTCTACATGTGTTTTGTGGATTTGGAGAAGGCTTACGACCGTGTTCCCCGAGATATCTCGTGGGAGGTCCTCCGGGAGTATGGGGTGCCGGGGCTGCTACTCCGGGCCATTCAATCTCTGTACTCCCAGAGTGAAAGCTGTGTTCGTATACTCGGCATTAAGTCTGACTCTTTCAGTGTTAGCGTTGGACTCCGCCAGGGTTGTGCCCTGTCTCCACTGCTGTTTGTGATATTTATGGACAGGGTGTCAAGGCGTAGCCGTGGTCAGGAGGGCATTATGTGTGGAGGCCGGAGGGTGGCGTCTCTGCTATTTGCAGACGATGTGGTTCTCTTGGCTGGATCACATGGATGCCTCCAGCATGCACTGGAGCAGTTTTCAGCTGAGTGTGAAGCGGTTGGTATGCGGATCAGCACCTCCAAGTCTGAGTCCATGGTCTTAGCCCGGAAAAGGATGGCATGCCCACTCCAGGTAAGGGGAAAGGACTTGCCCCAGGTGGAGGAGTTTAAGTATCTCGGGGTCTTGTTCACGAGTGATGGGAAGAGGGATCGTGAGATCGACCGCAGGCTGGGACAAGTGGCAGCAGTAATGCGAAGAGGGAGCTGAGCCGTAAGGTGAAGTTCTCTGTTTACCGGTCGGTCTACATCCCGACCCTCACCTATGGTCATGATCTATGGGTAATGACTGAAAGAATGAGATCGTGAATTCAAGCGGCGGAAATGAGCTTTCTTCGCAGGGTGGCAGGCTACACTCTATTTGATAGGGTGAGGAGCTTGGCCATCCGGGAGGAGCTCGGAGTAGAGCCGCTACTCCTCCGCATTGAGAGGAGCCAGCTGAGGTGGTTCGGGCATCTGATCCGGATGCCACCTGGATGCCTCCCGGTGGGGGTGTACCAGGCACGGCCTACCGGGACAAGGCCCCGGGGTCGTCCTTGGATGCGCTGGAGGGATTATATCTCCAGGTTGGCCTGGGAGCGGCTTGGGGTCCCCGGGAATGAGCTGGAGGAAGTTGCGGGGGACAGGGTCGTCTGGGATTCTCTGCTCTCCCAACTGCTACCGCGACCTTAGCAGTTAACGACGAAGCAGTTAACGACGATGATGATGATGATGATGACTTCTTCTGTTTTATCTAATACGTTTTACACGTTGTTCATGTCACTTTACTACAACTATATATTTAGCAGATGTTCTTATCCAGAGTGATTTACACTGGCAGGTGAACATAGTGTTAGGAATCTTTCCCAAGGACATTATTGGTGTACCTGTTATTAGTCATTTAGTCTTAATTCTTTAAGAATGGGATACAGTAGCCGTCCACTGAAGTATCCCAGATATACTAGCCTTCCACTGCAGTGTCTCACCTTAGGGATGAGGTAACCTGCTACTGTAGTGTCTTTGTTGGCTACTCTGGGAGGGGCGAAGGGGACAACGCTGGAGAAGCGCTGGATCTCGTGAGTGACTGCGTAAGTGTACGGCAGCCGGCTTCTGTCATCCATCGAGGGTGGACGAGTCTGTCCGATCACATGATCAATTTCTGCCTGGACTTTCTCTGTAATGTACAAAGGAAAGTAAAAATGGATGCATAAACTGATTCAGCCAGACAATTACAACTTAGCAACAAATGTCATTACAGCAACTTGTGTGTTAGTGAGTGTGTGTGCAGAGGCCAAGAGCGATTTTCCAAGTGCAGCTTAGGCTTCTTGGGCTGCCTGTTTGGGTGATGCTAAATCTCAGCTATGATGCAGCCTGGACCAGCCGCTTGAGTGACGCTGTATCATGGCTACAAGACTCTCTGGTCTGGGGACCTGATAAACGTGACATCGCAGCCTGGCCCGGCTGCTTGGGTCTCGCTGCCTTGCAGCTATGAGGTCTGGACTGGTGGGGTTGGGCTGCAGGAAAATGCTACCCCTTCGTGGCTGAGGACATTTTTGGCCTTTGAGGCTTCCTGGCCAGCCTCCTGCATGATGCACCGTAGTTGCGATGTAAGACTTTCCCCCGTGGCTAAGGACTCTTTCCGGGCTAGCTAAGTGACTCTATACCGTGGTCAATGAAATCCTCCCCCGGTAGCTGTGGGAGCCATGGAGTGTGTGTGTCTGAGTATGTGTTCTGTTATGCATTGTTGATTATGTATTGATTGTAAAGCATCCTTGAGCATGGAAAAGGCGCTATATAAATAAAAGTGATGATGATGATGATGATGGTGATGTTGAACTTTTGGAGAACTAATGCCATCATTCCCTCACCATCATAGCAAAACACATGCAGTTTGGGCTTCACTGTCTGACTCCACAAGAACTGCTCTCATTCACACATTTAATGATACTGGAAGGTCGTTTTACATAAGCTGCAGTTCTTATTCCCTGAAAATGCATAATTTTACAAGTAAAAGAAGTTTGAAAGGTTTAAAACAGTGGGTCTTTTACTAGAGTCCTGAAGACCCACTACTCTGCACAGTTCCATGTATTCTCTGCTCCAACACACCGGAGCCAACTTTAAGGTCCAACTTATCAAGGCCTTCATAACCAGTTGGTAAGCTGGATCAAGTGTGCTGAGTCGAGAGCCACTGGTTTAGATTTAGAGTCATCAATTCTGGACCTGGGCGACTGAAGTCACACCTTGTTGAACCCTTTAGTTTTTAACCCTTCCTTTATTTTTTATGTTTTTACCTTTTTTTTTAATCACTTTCGTATGTTTTATCAGTGATTGCACATTGCAAAGCAACACTGTTGTTATCCGATTTATAATCTTCCTATTCTTTTTATTTTTCTGCTGGGTTTTTGCCCGTTAACTTGTGCCTCAGTTTTCAAGATAAACACCCCTCCAGCTCTGGAATGTGCACATCCATCACTTATCAACCCCCTAAAAACCACCCAGTAAACAATCCATTCCTCATAGCAACTGCCTAGCAACACCTTATAAACAACACCTTGTTTATTTGGCATTCCTTAACATTTTTGCTTATTTATATTTACCTATTTTATTTTGTTATTTTATTTTGGACAAACTTTTATTTCACTTCATTCATACATTTTTTTTTATTTAATGAATTCACTGTTTCCAGTTATTTGTTCTTTTGTTTATGAGTGACAGAGGTCCTACCTTGCACTGCGGGATATTTGGCCATATAAAGCATGGCCCATCTGAGAGTGTTGAAGGTGGTCTCCGTTCCAGCTCCGAACAGATCCACCACACACCACACCAGGTTCTCCTCTGTAAACTCGGCCTGGCTGTCCTTACACTGGAGAACACAGGGCCACTTATAGGACATGCATGATGCATGTAAATCAATGATGTTATTTAAAATGTATTTTTAATATTATTGTTGACATTACTCTGGATATTTCTCTGTATACTACTAGGATGTATTTGTTGATCATCGTGCACAGTACCTTCTCGATTTCCTCCAGATAGCAGTCGACGTAGTCTCTGGGGTTGTCTGGGTTTCTGTCCTGCTTGTGCTTCTGGATTTCCTCCTGGATGAAACGCTTTACCTTTGAAAGATTGGCGAAGGCTCTCTGGTGCCTTCCTGGGAGCCAGGACATGAGGGTGGGGAACTTATTGTAGAGCTGATCAAGGAAGAGAAATGATTAGCATAATTATAGATACGGTTAACCCCTTAAAACCCCAGGCTTATTACATACTAAGGCTTATTACTCAGTAACTACAGGAAATTCAATACAAACCATCTGAGCTATTCTTAGGTTTTAGGTGTGTATAATAAAGCAATAAGCCATGAGAGGCTGTGTGTTACTGGGATTTTATCATGGGAAGAGTATTCTTAGGCATGATGCGAAGTGCCCAACATAAAATATAATAAAATACACAATTTTCCAGAAAATAATATGTTATTATTAATAATAATCAACATAAACAAGTATTCCGCCAATAAATGTAGTTCCATTAGAGTGCAGTATCATTGCCAAGCAACCATTGACTGCTGAATTAGGAGAACATTGGGTCACTCAGCACTGTATATTGCGGTCATTTCTTTAATGTTTTAACTTTTTGTTGTATAACAATGAACTTATGATAACACAGCACTGTTTAAGGCATTTTTGCTTTATAAGTACTTTTTGATCACCAAATTACCACAGTGAGTCTTATTTAGCACCAATCCAATGGCGCTCTCTTCTCACACTGGGGCTGAATCTCAAACGGCTCCCTGCTCCCTACATAGTGCACTATGTAGGAGTTTAAATACTGGATCCTGCAGCCCAACAGAGCAAAATACAGCTAAGAAATAGTCATTTGGGACTCAGACACATCCACACTCGATAAATGCTGCACTATTTGGCTGTAGAGCCTAGAATTTCTAGCTTTTCATAGCTAGAACACTATTTAGGGAGTACGGAGCCATTTGGGCTTCAGCCTGGGTTTGATGTGACTTCTGACTGAAACATGAATATTTGAAATGTGTAATCAATTTAAGTGACACTTTTAGACTTTTATTGTGGCATTTTACAGTTAATCATGCCGTAAGTACTTGTGTACCCACTTTGTTTGTGATGTAAACATCTAAACTACACAACTGCTTTGCATATTTAGTTTAGTTCTTTGATGATGTGAACCTATTTGTCAGATGTATCTGCTTTTGTACATCATACCCGGCCCCAGCCGGTCATAGGAAGCTGAAACACTTCATCCGAGTACTGCAGAATCTGATGGAAGTAGTGGTCATCGTATTCAAACCTGTGGCCGAACACCAGGCTGCAGATAATGTTGGCCACTGCGTTGGTCAGTGTACGGTGAGGGTCAAAGGGCAAACCTGAGAGACAGAACAAGCACATAATAATAAGAAAGGGCTGGGTGTAATTTTAATTAACGTTTTACACAGGGAGACATGGGCGCGGTGAAGTGATCACAGGCGTAAAAGAGCTGGTGTTTGGTTTTTGGCCTTCAATGAGATGCTGTAGTTGCATCTTTCAACAAATAGAGGGCAGCATTGGCCTGTATTTTGTATTGAAATTGACCCAACACTCCAAAACATGAGGAAATTTGCAAACCATTGTGAAGCTTGGATTATTAGAAAATACTGCAGTACATGACAAAGAAACAGTTACGATTGTGAAGTGATAATATGTGGAATGAATGAATGAATGAATGAATGAATGAATAAATAAATAAATAAATAAATAAATAATAAACAAACTAGCCAACTGTACATTCTGCATGCTTGAATCATTATCCACTTGCCTCACTTCCCTATGTTTATAGATAGCAATAGACATTATGCATTTAGAGACATGCATTTAGAATGCATCATACACTGCATATAATACCTTGTAATGCCTGCATTAGACCTGCAGAACTGCTCTTAAGTATTTGTGATTACATTCATAACACTTGGGCTCGGACATCATTGTAGAACTCTTGACCACTTTGTTCCTCTGACCTTGGTGGGAATTCAGAGCTTCACACAGGTAGTGGCTCTCCTGCAAGATGGAGTTCTCCAGGATCTTTTTTCCCATGCCAAAGTTCTTCAGCGTGGACAGAACAAAGCGTCTCTGCTGCCTCCACATGTGTCCACTGGATGAAATGAGGCCTTCTCACAACCATGGAGAGATGAAAGTCATTAGCAAGGCAAATTAGTGTTATATGTCATAGGAATTATGTACATACAGGTAAAATGTATATTTGCCTTGAAAACCATAGCAACACTCTATATGGACAAAAATATTGGGACACCCTCCTAATTATTACGTTCAGGTGTTTTAGCCACACTCATTGCTAACAGGTGGATAAAATTAAGCACATAGCCTTGCAGTCTCAAGTGACAAATCACGCTTCTCTATCTGGCAGTCTGGGTTTGACGAATGCCAGGAGAACGTTACCTGCCTGACTGCATTGTGCCAACTGTAAAGTTTGGTGGAGGAGGGATGATGATATGGGGGAACAACTCCATATTAATGACTACGGATTTAGAATGGAATTCATGAAAGCTCCTGTAGGTATAATGTGTAGGTGTCCCAATACTTTTGTCCACATAGTGTATATAGCATTACTTAATGTTCAACTTTAGAATTAATCAGAATCGAATGGTCAGATCAGATGAGTTCAGCTAGCTATTGATTGGTTTACAAATCACTGACAACATTTTCATTACACTGTTTTTGTTTTGTTAGCAAGGTCAGAAACTTTAATTTTTTGTTTAAATCATATCTATATATATATATATATATATATATATATATATATATATATGTATATATATATATATATATATATATATATATATATGTTTGGGTGTTTTTACCCAATCCTCTGGATAGTCTGTCGTTCAGTGGGTAGGAGGCTCGGTCACTAAAGATGTCCCCTTTTTCCACAAATGCTTCTTTGAAACTCTTATAGCCGGACAGCAGAACACAGTCCTGGTTTGCGAGGTAAAGTGTGTTAACGCCACCATACTTCTCATAGATCTGAGGACCAAATGTAACAGAAACGTATTTTAAAGGCAGACCAAATCATTTTAACATAAGATCAGTGAAGTAAAGTTTCTCCTGATTGTTTTATAAAGTATCTCTACAAAAAAGCCAGATATATGTACAGTGATGTACAGTACTTAAGTAACACTTCCTCTGAGTTCTGAATTCATAAATTCATTATAAATGCATTTATAAAATGTTGTATGGCATGAATAAAGCCTTATAATATTGGGCATAAGCTTGTGTAATTGCTAGTAGTAGTTATAATTACATCCAGTAATATAGCAGTGCCAGGCCCACCAGAAATCAGCTCTTTTTCTCATATTCCATATAGTACCTTCTGCCAGGTTTATAAGGTATTCTATATACCATATGACATTTTTATTAATGCATTCATTAATTATGAATACAAGATTTATAGGAAGTGTTACCAAAAATTTCATTAAGAATCCAGACCTTTTCAAAGGATCTGATGGGATCACGGAAGCTGATGTCCAGCAGGTTGCCAATAATGGGCAGTTGAAGGGGACCTGGGGGGAGGTTCTTGGGTCGAGTGTCACTCAGGTATTTCACCAACAGCACCACACACAGAAAGACCAGAATTCCCTGCGTGTCTATCCACCAGGTCAGGTTTAGTAAGGCGTTAAACGCAGACACCATGTTTCTCCTGAAGGCTGTGGAGAAATCAATTTGCATAAACAAATATTACAGCAAATACTCAACTAGCTTTACTGGTGACGGAGACATTTTAAACAGTAGACATTTGCGATACATTGATAAGACAGATCAGAAATGAGGCATTTGACTGCAGACAGTGAGGCTGTGAGTGTGACTGAAGCTCAGTGTACGGCTCTGCTCTGGTCAGATCTGTCCTCTAATCAAATATTCACAGACAGGAAGATGTTGAAACAGACAGATTTTGGCTGCGAGACTCAGAGATATCAGTGGGAGCTGGCCTACTTTCCTGCATCTTCACCCACTGCAGTCTGGAGTGTCAGCCAAGAGCGTAAATGATGGCAAGCTCTTGACCTTGTAAACTCAATCGTGTCGACTGATACAATCCCTCCCAACACATTCTCCATTCATCAGGACGGATGTTGGAGGAGAGGGTGTCCTAGATTCCTCACAGTTGTTTACATTACTTTTTTCCAGAGCCGATTCTTCCTCAGAGGACGGTTTCTATGGCGATTTTCAGGAATGGATTGGGTACAGTCTAATAAACAGGGTTCTTATAAAAAAAAAAAAAAAAAAAAAAAAAAAAATATATATATATATATATATATATATATATATATATATATAAATATTATATATATATATGCTTTAAAATTCAATAAATGGTAAATAATGATTCAGTAAATTCTAATAAAGATTTATTTGCCTCCAAAAAGTTAAGACAATAAGTTATTATATCTCTATTGCATAAATTATTATGATAATGAAGATGCTAATGTTTATAATTGTGTTAATTAGATGATGATGATGATGGTGATAGTCATAATCTTCATAATTATAATCCTTACCATAATCATCACCATCTTCTTCATCATAATAATAATAATCATGATAATTGTATCATAATAATGATGATGATTACTATTATGACAACAAAACAAGATAATGACAATAATAAAAGTTATATATGTTTATATTTACTTTAATTAGATAATGATGACAATGACGATGATAATGATGATCATAGTTATATAATACATAATTATACATCATTGTGTATAATTATATTATAACATGACCATGTATTATATTATAGCTATATTATTATTCTTACAACAAATTAACAATAATAATAGTTATATATGTTTATAATTACCTCAGTAAGATAATAACAATGACAATGATGATGATCATAATTATACAATATATAATTATACATCATATGTATATAATTATAACATACCAACATATTATATTATAGGTATATTATTCTTATTACAACAACAAAAAACAACATTAATAACAATAATAATAGTTTTTTAAGTAGTTTGATTATATATTGTGCTCTATATATATATATATATATATATATATATATATATATATATATATATCACAAATGAAATGTTCTATGACGTGTCACATTAGCATAATAATTTTTGGTACTTCTTAGAACCATTTTTAAAAAGGTTAAAAGCATACATAACGTTTTCAATCACAGTGAAGAACCATTTAACCATTAATAGAACCGAAAGGTTCTTTAAAGTTTCATAGTTCTAGATATATCCATTGGCCTCCAGTACCCTTGAAGAACCGTGTGTTAAGGGTGTTGAACTTTTTGTTTCCTTGCTACTATAGAGAACCCTTTCTGGAGTGCAGATCTGTCTGTAAGTGGGAGAGAGGTGCGTCAGCCGCCGCTCGAACGCACTAAGCGAATTAAAGCAGGCGGTCAGGGTGGCTGTCTGGCCACAGAAAAGTCCATCTGAAATGTTAATGCGGGCTAATTGCGATCTCCTCCCCGTCGCCTTCAAGCCTGATTGAATTTAAACCCTACAAGGCAGCGGTAATTTGCAGCGCCGTGTTTGTGTTAAAGACGCTCCAGCAGTTCTAATAAGTAAAGAGACATAATTGACCATTCTCAATGTCAGAGAGATCCAGCAGAGGATAAACACCACACTGATGAGTCTGTGATTATCAGCGTGCAGAGACAACATACACACACCTAGCCCAGTTCTAACCTGAAAGGGACAGTTCACCAAAAATTCAATTTCACAGCTTTCCTCCTTTTCCTAACTGTAGTTCATCAGGCAAGACGTGTTAGAGGTGAGACACTAAAAATACGAGGCTAATGTTATGCCACCAAAAAAGAATTTGGGTGAAGTCAGAGACCCTTTCACCTATTTAATTTTCAATCAATATGGTCCCTAAGTACAAGTTATTCATTTGTCACAGTCAGGCAAAAATTACACAGACATGCCAAACGTCATGGGATAGTAGTGTGTACCTCTGGGGACACCTGTATAAGTTGTGAGGTGTTCATCTTGTGAGTGAGGTGAACACTGGCCATTGTGCTCACAGCAAGGCAGGAGTTCAAACGAGGCATCGTAGTGGGAGCCAGGCGGATGGAACATTCCACTTCCAAAGTTGTGTGGGAATTTAACATTCCTTGATCCACAGTGAGAACCAGGAATACATCATAGAAGGCATTACCATCCACAGTGGACAGCCCAGTGGCCACCTGCAGGTGCTTAAGGATCATGACCGGTGGCGTCTGACTAGAATCGTTTGTCAAAATAGACAAGCGACTTGTTCAGAAATCACATCCACATTCAATACAAGAGGCCCCACATGCTAATCCCACAGGGCAGTGCAGCGTTCTTTAGCTTCCATGGGATATGGGAGCAGAAGACCCACCAGAGTGCCTCTGTTAACACCATGACACCAGACACAGCACCTCACCTGGGCTTGTAAGGTTGCTAACTTGACCCTAGAGGACTGGCAACATGGACCGCGGTCCGATGAGTCACAGTACCAATTGCTCCAGGCTGAAGAGGGTTCATGTGTGGCACAGACCTCATGAAGCCATGGACCCCAGTTGTCAACAAGGCACTGTGCAGGTTGGTGGTGGTTCCATACTGGTGTGGGATGTGTTCTCATGGCATGGGTTGGGTCCACTGGTCCACATGTCATTGACAGTTTCACTGCTTGCTGACCATTTGCAGCACTTCATGGACTTCATTTAACCCCACAGTGATGGGATGTTCCAGCAGGATAACGGACCATGCCATCAAGTCCAAGTTGTCCAGAATTGGTTCGAGGAGGATTCTGGAGAGTTTAGACGAATGATGTGGCCTGCACATTCGCCCGACATGAAGCCCATTCAAGCATTTATGGGTGTGGTGGAGATTCGTACAGTTTTGGTGTCTACCAGGTCTTCCAGGTGGTTGTTAGGAGCCCTGTTTTCTCTGTAGTTTTTTTTTTTTTACTCGTTTTCATTTCACTTTCTCCTTCATTATGCAAGTGGTTTACCTTATATCTGATCTCCTCAGAAATGTCTTCTGAAAAATTCATTATTTGTACATTATTTGTGGCCAAAATGACTGGAAATAGCTGTTTTCTTTGTAACTCTGAATTTGCACAGTGCTGTATATGTTTAAGTACAGGACAAATGTCTAAATAATTGAGCCCACTGTATGTATACACACCCAATCTAATCCAAACCTTAAGCTTTGGCCTCTTGTAGCCCTTGCAATATTTTTGCACACAAATGTCCAGACAGACACAAATTGTTCACATTTTCAACATCCTGAGAATATTTGACAAACTATAAATCACTGACAAACTCCCTCCCCTTCCTTCACAGTATCCCCTTCTAACACTGCTCACATTCAGAAACACAGGTTTATGCACTTGCTTTTCTGGGTCAAATGTTGTTTTCCAGTCTGTAAACCTTAAAAACCAACAACATGCCCCACTTTAAACTGCAGCTTTAAACCAACAAGAGGAGAACGTAAACACTTACATGGTGTTTCAATCAGCTGGAGCTCCTGTCACTAAGCAGTGCCTCTCCTGGAAACATATATATGAAAGCTCTTACACAAGCCACTTACAAAACAGCGTTACAAAAGAGCTTTGGACGGGATTCTTCTCAAATTACTCTGACCGTGTTCTGGAATGCTGACTGGCTTCAAACACAGAGTGGGAGGTGCCGAAACAGTGAGCTGGTTTAAAGGTTAATACAAGGAACAAAGATCAATACTTGGTCTACAAACTACAAGACCTGATTTATTAGAGCTGTATGTCAAGAATAATCACAGGTGCTGTCAGAAGAAAACCTCGTATCTCCATTTTGGGAGAAATTTTTCAGTTTTTTACATAATTTGAAAATACATGTTGCCCTTTACATTGCATGTGCATTTCATGAAGAACAGACCAAAAGAAATGGCCCAAAATGACTTGGAAAAAAGTCTGGTTCCACTGACTTACTTTAAAAGTAGAGTAGGTTTTCTCTTTCTCTTGTAAAGTTACCATTTTGGAGAAACAAGGTTTTCTTCCGACTTCAGAGATATGAAAACTTGTTTCCTAAGCTAATACAAGCCAGTTGTACAGCCGGATGCAAAAGTTTGAACAACGACTTGGTCAAATTGCCTGTTTTGTTGATTTTTTTTTCATGTTTTTGTTATTCCTACAAGGAATAAACTTACACATGCCATTTTTCTCATATTTTAGGGCACAATTTTTATTATTTTCTGATTTTTTGAACATATTGCAGAAAAAAAACTAAAATATAATTGGTGTCATAACTTTTGCACAGGGCATTTAATGTTTATTTTTCCCAAACATGTTGAATTTAGCAAATAAAAATAACAGTTAACACTTTTAAGACCTTTATTTCGTACCACATTAGTGTTTGTAAGTAAAAAAGGAGATGTTTTATTATAGTTTGAGTTTCATGAAATGGTGTTGCTGGGTGTCTTATGTGTTACTTGCAGAAAGAAACCCCTCCATTACATTTTTGCCATGTTTTCTTTTTATCATTTTTAACATTGAAACAGACAGAAAATGTTGGAACATGGAACTTGTCCATACATCATATAAATCAAAGATAAATGTAATCAACTGTGAAACATACTACCCTATTAAAAAAGATGGTTCTTCAGGGGTTCTTTATTAGAGGGAATGCTTATATCTAGAGTCCAGTGTTCTGTATAGAACCATTTCACACTTAAATGGTTCTTTGCATGGTGAAGTGGTTGTTCGGATTGGTGAACAATGTATTGTATTTGGTTCTATATAGAACATTTTTGAAAATGGTTTTATATAGCACCAAGAAGCGTTCTTCTTTTGTTACAAGCTTGACATTCTACGACTAAACGCTTACAAAAGATGATTCTTCAAGGGTTCTTTAGTAAAAAAAATGGTTCTATATAGAACCCTGAATACTCAAAGAACCCAAGATTGAAGGCTTCTTTGCATCATGAAAGAGTTCTTCAGACTGATGGAAAATGTGCATGAATGTGCTGTAGATGGTTCTATTTAGAACCTTTTTAAAAAGAGTTCTATACAGCATGCAAAAGGGTTCTTCTTTTTTAACAAGCTTTACACCATAACAACAGAAGAAACCTTTTGGATTCTATATAGAACCATTTTCAAAATGGTTCTATTAAGAACCATCTATAGCACATTCTCCATGAATCTGAAGAACCATTTCATGATGCAAAGAAACTTTTAATCATGCAAAGGGTTCTTTGAGTGTTCATGGTTTTAAAAAGAACCATTTTCTTTACTAAAGAAGCACCATGTCAAGCTTGTAACAATAAAAGAATCCTTTTGGGGGTACATAGAACCATTTTCAAAAAGGAAGTTCTATTCAGAAACCATGAACCATGCTCTTTATAAATGAACCCTAAAGAGTGTGTGTGCGTGTAATAATAATAATAATTTTATTATTTTTTTTTAAATTAATGATGAAGGTGTAGAAGAAATCAGAAACTTGACACATTCGTCAAATCTCTTAGAAGTTTATTATTGAACAAATTGCTGGAGAGGGAAAGAGAGGAGGAGATAGAAGGAGACAGGAGGGGACAGCAGGTACGGGAGAGAAGTGAAAGAGGCACGGTAGAGCGTAAGCTAGGTCTACCTAAAGTGCTTGGGTTCCTCTTTCCCTCAGACTAAAAACAATCAGCTGATCCGGGCCAAATAATAACCTCATGACAAAATTCACGCTGCACATCTGTCTTGATATTCAGCTGTACCTGTGAGTCCACTTGAACGGCCTCTAATGGGGGCAATGACAAGAACAATTTATATAAGCATCACTGGTACATACAGATTATAATCTCTAAGATAAACAGATATAACGCTGGCTGAACTTTAGGGTGAATAAGACATTTCTTTTTAGGTTTTGTAATTATTATCACTAGTGCAGTAGTGCGGTACTTCACGGTGCAGTTTGGAATTATACCCAATTTTTCACATTATTAGGTCTCCCTCTGTCACATAATGCCCCATCAGGCTGGGAGGGTAAATGTCAGCAAACCAGTACATCATTGCACAGCTCAGGAGGAAATGCTAGATGCTAATTCTGTTACTTCAGGATTCCCAGCTATGGATGGCTATGGCACTTGTCTGAATAACAGTCTGTTTCTTTTTGGCTAGGATGGTTAACTAATGATGATCATCGCCTATAGTTCTTATTGAAGGTACCTGGAGGAGCTTGACATACATTGTGGTAAAACCTTTATTTCAGTAATGTGTTTCGGTTGGAAATAAAAGTGATAAATTCTTGAACCACTTAGCAGAAAACTAGGTAGATACAGCCAAGCAAGTTCTCCCATTGATTAGATTTCAGGAGCTGGACTGGAACGATAAAATAATTAGACAGTGAAAATCAACCAATCACATTTTGATTTCCAAGGAGGGGGGACCTCTGGAGCATTTTGTGAAGACCAAAATGTCACTTCTGGAAGTTCTAGATGCTTTTCATAGTCCAGTTAGGCTCCAGGTGGTTGTTAGGAATAGAAAGCAGTGGCGGCAGTTCTATGCCAGGACTCTTTAGTGAAAGAGTCACTGTAAAACTGATACATAGGTAAAATAGATAAGGTCAAAAGTATAGCGAATGTCTGTTACAAATTTCATATTGAAATGTGATCTGACACTTGTTTTATAGGATTTGGTTTCGTAGAGATCTGATTTGGTCATTTGACATATTCGTAGGTTCTTTTGACATGACCTGGAAAGCCGGCTGACCCTAGACCAAGTCGTAACACAAGCTTGAAGTGTCTGTGCTGTATAATTGTAATCTGTAGTTGCCAAAAGGTTTTCATGTGAATCGCCATTAGCTTAGTGCTAACATACTACTGCAATCCCATAGAGAATGGAAATTAATTGTAAAGGTGACTTATTTTCTCATTTATGTGACATTTATGACCCAAACTAAAGGCCGACCAGTAAAAGTCACTGTTCTCCATTGGGCTTGAATGACTCGAGGGACATGTGATGATTCTGTGGTAATTGCGTTCGACCAACCAATAGTCTGCACTACCCATACATTCTGGCTTGGCATGCTTGGTATCCCAGTGGGACGGGTGACCAAATTCAGATGTTCAGATATGATACCTCAGTCACTTCAGAGTGGAAATGATAAGAAAAAGCATGGAATTGTAACTGTACCGTGCTGTACTACACAACCTGGTTAAAACACTAGGCACTCAATTTCTGCACTGAGGCTGTAAATTCTTGAATTTAATAAAGCACTCTATTCCACCTTCATAACAGCAGGAAGTATCAAAAGGTACGAGTTCAAAGGAATTATACCCCCTTGAATATTTCAAGTGGAAAATTGTATAATTGGTATGGTTCTGTCGTTTGATGAGGGCAAGGTGTTATATTATTTATTTGTTGATTTCTTTCAAAGTTGATTCTTATGCATTTCAAGTCCGCACTATGTTGAAAACGATACACTCTCGTTCTCGAACTGATATGAATGCATTTTATTCAGCTGCTCTTAAAGTCTGAAACTTGGACTTTCATCGCTATGGCCGTACCATTAATACCAGAAATGCACCAGGAGAAGGAAACTACAGTATATGCTGTACAACTGAGATACATAGCCCTTAATTCTGGAGTAAATAGAGACAAAAAATCACTCAGCATTAGCACGACATACAGAGGACAAAACATACTTGCAATATCAATTTTTTGCTTTGTATATTTCACTGATGAAAGTAGATGCTTCACTGTTGGTGTTTCTTAGTTTCTATATAGTGGTTTTGTCTTGTGCAACGTTTTCTACCCTTGGAGCAAACAGGGAATAATCTCATAATATCCAGCTATATTTGGACACACTCTGAGTGAAATGTGAACTTTTCTCTTTTAATCTTCAGGCCACCTGAAAAATAATCTGTTTCTCAACTAAACAAGATCTTCTTAAAGAAGGGATCTGGAGAAGCTTGACCTACATTGGTAGAAAAGTTACTTCTCATCTGACTGAGATCTTTACAGACTACACTCTTAAAAAGATGGTTCTTTGGTTCTATATAGAACCATGAACACTCAAAGAACTCTTTGCATGATTAAAGGGTTCTTTGCATTGCAAAAGGTTTCTTCAGATTGATGGAGAATCTGTTTGTAGCATGCCCTGTGCTACCCTGGGCTCAAGAAGGATGCTGGAGGCAGCAGCCATATAAGTTTTATTTTCACCTCCATCACTGCACCTGCTTTCCGGCTTGGGCACCAGGATTGAACGTGAGTAAAGTGCACTCGCCATGGGACCGGAGGCGGTGCCCAGGAGGCGGGGCTTGGGACTTGCACGCCATCCCCCACTACCTAACAGGATTCACCCTCTCGCCGCTGTCTTCACTGGGTTTCTTCACTGTTTTTTGTCTGGGCTTGGAGTTTAGGCCCTGCATTCCTGCTGGCTCTTGTGGCCATCATCAGGTGCCAGGGGATGGGTGCATACCATACAGTTGTATATGGTTCTATATAGAACCGTTTTGAAAAGGGTTCTACATAGCACCAAAAAGGGTTTCTTCTCTTGTACAATTGACATTGTTACAATAGAAGAACCCTTTTTGCTGCTATACAGAACCCATTTCAAAAAGGTTCTATGTAGGACCATCTAAAACACATTCTTCATTAACCTGAAGAATTCTTTCATGATGCAAAGAAAGTTTTATTCATGCTAA